GGGTGGGGAGAGGTGGTTTGTGTTTTGGGGGGTAGTTGAGTGTATATATTGGGTTGTTGTTTAGGAGTAGTGGGGGCACAAAATTGGATGAGGCGATGGTATCGGGAATGGGGGGGGGCATGAAACGGCAGCAAAATGCGGATGACACTCAGCAGAACGGGGAAAACATATCCTGTCCACGACACGGAAGGAAACTTAATCGTTGTAGCGACCGCTCTCTCTGGATATTTACTCCCGACGCAAATCCCACAGAAGGAAAGCAATGGCAGGCGCCACATTTTGCTCCGGGCACCAACTGATGATGAGAGCGCCGCCAGCGCGATATTAAGATGAACATACGTGAGGACACAGGCTCCCGTCAGAGACAGAGGCCGGTGCCGGTACAGTATTCGCCCACACTGCCGAGGGTGGCTAGTTTCCTTTCGTGAGATGTAACGAGGAGAGAGGTAGAGAAGTCGTGACTAGCAGACGGCAGAGGGAGAACACCATGGAAGAGACATATCTCAACGATGGTACTTGCCACTCTCCCGATCGCAAGTTACCCCAACGCATCGTTTCTTCCTCACTTTGGATGTGCACAATGGTGGGTTATACTTCCGACAGGTGTCCTCCACCTATGGCGGGAAACAAGTCAAGCACGTTTCGCTGTGGTTCTCCCAAGCCGCTCACCGTAGTCTGAATAAAATCGCCCGAAGGGACCGTAACGCTCGTTCCCATTGCCGCCGTTATTATCCACGTCACGATAGATACAGGGAGGGCGATGAAGATGTCTGGCGTTGGTTGCCAATCAGCACCAGTCCCCCATGACAGAGAGAGAAGGGAAGGTCCAGCAGTCGAGACGGCCCCAGCACACACGAGGCACGAGCGAGGACACAGCCGGAGGAACGGATGGAGAGAGTGTGAATGTGAGGGCATCAAGTAGGAGGAAAAGTCGCAAGAGGCTAAGCCTTGTGTTAAGCCTCATGTTGCGTGTTGTTGTTTTTCTGACGCTGGGACTAACGATAGAGAGACCCAGCTTCGATAGCTTTTGTGTACAGAGGGCATTCACGTATTTTTGAGCAATGTGCCTGACGAATCAAGTCAGGAATGTTCCCTGCCTCGCTCTCACGTATTGCAAGCTGTTGGTGGCGTAGCTGTTGGCGTAGTTTATCAGGCTCGTACGGAAGCGAGTTTAGAAAATTTCATCATGCCCATGTTCGATTGGGTGGTGCTCTCCCGCCGAAACGCGTTCAACATTACAGCAGCCAGTAGCCCGTGCTGCCGGAACATATGTAGGGACAAAATGGCGATTCAGAAAAGCAGCTAGCTCGACAGCACTACACTACGAGTCATGCTGTGTCGCTCGGCGGACAAGTACGACGACTGCCTGTTTAACTGTTTAAGCTACACCCACACGAAAGACCACCAAAACCGCGAGGCGATGTCGCTGGAAAACACCGACACGGTACACGATAAACACTCTTTACTACAGCTTCGCTTCTCCTCACGGTCAGTGCACCCCGATGTAGCTGAAAAAAACAACGCCAGCGGCACACGCTAACGACTTTACTACCGCTTCTCCTTACTGTCTGTGAAGCCCGAACTCCAGATGCTGGACAGGTCGCCCTTGCTCAGGAGGTGTTTAAACGTCGTAAGGGGAGTCAGTCGCGTGAATCGACCCGGGAAAAAAGAAAGCACTGCCGTCATTGTCGCCGCCTAGGGGATGCACAAAAGACGGCGATCGATTGCGATCAGAGGCAGGGGCGGGGGAGGGGCGAACAAGCAATTTCGTGCCGCAAAACACAACTTCTACCTGGTAAGAGTTGCGCGCAATGCCGCCAGCCCAGGCCATGGCTGTCAACGACGAATCAAAAATCCAGATACGTCAAAAAATGGGAGGGGGGGGGCGTACTCGTACTCTTACTCTTATGTTTTGCATGCCTTAGCGGTTAGACCATTGACCACGCGTCCTCGAGAGGACGGAGCATTGTTCCCACAGGACCGATCCCCGATGGCCAATCGTTCCTTCCTACTTTGCCAAAGGTTGCTCAAAAATGCCGTCCCTAGTCTGTCTATCCTAACGATATCCCTTCCCGCCTTTTCAAACCACTTCCTACTCCCCAGTACAGCTACCGTCCTCTCCTCTCTATTCCATGCCTCAAACATCTCCCGGTACCTCCCGTGTATTTTTTCCAGCTCAGTCATGTACACTTCCCTCTCCTTATTGTACAGGAAGGGGGGGGGGGGTCTTTCGGGCAGTGCAACTGCTGGGGCATTTCTTGCGGAGTTCCGAGGTAAGACAAAAAAAAAGTTTGTTTTCGGAACACCCGCGCGCCCCTTTCCACCAGAGTCTTCCGGCCAGCAACCAATACCCTGCTCTCTCTCCTTGTAAGAACACGCGAGGAACACCTGTTGTGTATCTAATCTACTCCCCAAGAAATGAAGAAGGCGAGCCGAACCTTCGCCAAACGCACCAGTCGTCAGTTAATTTTTTTAAAGGGGGCATATATATTTTTTTTCTTTTCCTTTTTTGTCTTCACTTCAAATCAGCGCTCACAGCACTTGTGCCATTCACTCCAACCCGTGGTTACGCAGAAGGATTCATCTTGGTGACGATATAAAAAGCGCTTCCCTCCTAGTTCTGTCTGTCCATCTATCTATTGGTCTATCTCTCACCAGGCACGCTACCGCGGTTGCGGCCCTGACGTACTCCCATCGTCGAGCAGGCACTGCCCGTATCGAGTGCTTCCCCAGCTTGCGTCCCAGCTGCATCGACAAGCCCGTGCACGGAAACAAAAAGGCGACACAAAAAAAAAACGAGGGACACAGGGAGGGGGACAATGTAGGGGGGGGATGTTTTCAAATCGATGGTCGTTTGGTTGATTAACCGACCACAACAATCCTCTTCCAAGCCGCAAGAGGTAGAGGTAGGAAGAGAGCGAGAGAGACAGACAGACAGAGACGGAGACGGAGAAATAAAGTGGCACTCGACGACATGAGGACGCACGTCTCTTGGCCCTCCATCCCTTCAAGCTGTCTGTACTGTTGTCCTACCAAAATCCGCAACAAAGGCGGGGCAAGCATTGAAACATCATTCTGACACCGCTCTCCCCTCGTTCCACCGATCAGATCAGACCAGCTTTGGTCCCATGCCGTCACAGCACGCCTCCGACGATCGGTTCTAACAATGCGCGCACTATATACGAGTCGACTGGACCCTGGACCGCGGCTAGCTAGACTGCAGTCGAATCAGCAGGGGGCAGATACCTACCTAAGCCTGTTGGTACAGTAGGGGGCCCTCTATAGTGCCGGGTAGTGTCCAGAGAAGTATTCAGAATAGTGCCTCAGTAGTGCCGGTACGGCACTATTGAGGCTTCGAATATCCCTCAGTAGTGCCGGACCAGCACTACTGAGTAGGTGTTGATTTCATGGTGCAGCGCTCAAGCTTTGCGGGGCCAACAGAGTACGATGTGGATTGTGGATCGAATATGTGTATTATTAGTGGACGTCTAAGTCCTCGTTGCCATCCTTCGATGTTGCCAGATAAAAAAAGACAACAGAGAACCACGACAGGGAGCGCACCGCACGAAAAATAAACGACCATTACACACTCTACCACGGCTGTTCTCCCCTCCCTCGCAACGTAGCAGCAACTCTTTCATGTCTGCCTGGCGCACCCCCTTGGATGTCGCAAGAAAGAATCAAAACAACCCCAAGAACACAAGCACTACAGGAAGCGCGCCGCACGGAAAATAAATGGCCATTACATACTCTACCACAGCTGTTCTCCCCGCCCTCGCGACGTAGCAGCAACTCTTGGATGCGACAAGAAGAAACAAAAACAAAGAAAAGCACGACAGGAAGCGCACCGGAAGAAAAGCAAACAACCATTGCTACAACAGCTGTACTCCAACCTTACTCCGTAGCAGCAACAAATTATCTCATGTCTGCATGCCGCAATTGCCGTGGAGCCGCCCGCCACATCCTCCCTGGCAGACGTGGCCATGAGGGTCTTGCGGCGTTCTGTCCTGTTGAAGGCACAGTTCACCTTCCGCACAAGGCATGGTGCGCCTCTGCGTAGAGCTCTTATGGTCTGCAGCAGCTGGTGTACACTCTTTTCGGTGTGGCGTCTGTCCTCTCTGGTGTGTCGTGGTGTGTGGTTTTTTTATTATTAGCATCGACCGCGCTAACCGGCTGACCAATGAAAAGACGTCAGTGCCAGCGGGTACAAATCAAGGTCCCTGGAAGGGGGCCAAAATTCGAAAAATGCGCAATGCGCTAAATGCGAATGCTAATACGACTCTCTCTACATATTATATATATTTCATGTAGACATACATCTCAGTTACACAAATGCCCTCGCCCGAACCTAGGAAGCCACTGATGCAAAGAGCGAAGGACAGCAAAAGGGTTAATTCAAGCCCAGCCGAAACCAGGATATCGTGGTATGCTGCATCTCCCAATTTGATAATCGTACACTCCCAAGATCCAACAGTCATCGTGTCAGCAGCTAGATGACTTAAACAAAATAGCAACACACATGTGTGTGTTTGTTTTGTTCTCCCATTATTGTTTCTGTCGTCTGCCCCACTGGCCCACATCCTCCACTACGACTAGCTAGACGACCCAACCGGGGCCACACAGGAGGGGGGGGCTGGACCCCCTTCTGCGGTACATGCCTATGATTGTTTTTATCGCGAGAGGGTTCAGTACTCCCATCCTCGTCAACAGTGAAGTTGATGCACCAAGGCATCATTTACTAACGAATTCAGGAGAAATTGCTTCCAATTCTTTCAGGAACGAAAGTAAGAAAAAACAACAAATCGCCGGGGCTCGGACCCATGACCTGAAACTTAGAAGGTTAACGTGGGTACTGCCAACTAGACCACCGGGGCGACCGGTAGTGTGTGTGTGTGTGTGTCTACAGCAGGTAGAGAACCGGCACTATTGGGGGGCACAGCGGCGCCCAACCGGCACCATAACGGGCCATCCCTCAATAGTGCCGGTCCGGCACTATTGAGGGCGCTGTCTGTGTCTAGAAATTTAACCGGCGCTATACCGGGCACCGGCACTATAGAGGGCCCACTACTGTAGTGGAAATTAACTTAGAGCACCTACACCTTGAGCGTGTTGAGACAGAAAATGATGTAGAGCGCCTCAAGCAACTGAGACGGAAGCTAATGTAGAGCACCTTACCTTAAGCATGTTGAGACGGAAGTTAATGTACAGGGGCCCCACCAAGCCGCAGAGTACCCCCATCGTCGCGAACACCGGGTACTGCCACACCTCGAACTCGTCCTTCGAGAAATCCCTCTCGATGTACTCCTGCCGCAATCAGGCAAGAGAGAGAGGGAGGGAGAGAGAGAGAGAGAGAGAGAGAGAGAGAGAGAGAGAGAGAGAGAGAGAGAGAGATGGGGGGGGGCAAGAAGCGAGCATAAGAGGACCCAGCAGCGAACGGGGGGACGCAAACGCAATTGCGAGCGCTTCCCAGTCAGGCTGAGCCGAACGGCCGGTGACATATCGGGTACCTTAACCCCCCGCAAGCAACCAACACGGTCACACACACGCAAGGTGCCTACCTTGGTGTTCCACTACCAAAAATACCAAAGGCAAAGTGCCCAACCTCCTTCCCCCCTCCCTCTCCGACCCGTTGTTCACTCCGCACATCCTCCCGGTGACCGCCGAACCAAACCCAAACCTCGTCTGTTGAGATGAACCACCAACCCCCCTGAAGCTTGAGTTGTTGCCAGCAGGGAAAGGCAAACGGCCGCATGTCGAGATGAAACGTCGACAGCCGAAAAAACCTACTGGGAACACTACCTACAGATTCACGGTTGTCGAGCGTTTGCCGGGGAAAGCAAAACCGGCTGCATGTTGAGGGTGAACGTCCACAGCTTAAACCTAACCTACGTGAGCACTACCTTCAGAACCTGGTCTCGAGCGCTTGCCACGAAAAAAGCCGACCGGCTGCGTGTTGAGGTTCGAGGTCGACACCTAAAACCTAACTCACCGGGAGCAAAAAACACTACCTGCCGTACCGCTGCTTTCTCGAGATTCAGTTGGACGCTATTTTGTCTCAATCGCTTACCGGGAAGTCGGCGAGGTGGCGAACGACGCTGACGGCCACCGTGCCGGAGATGGCCGCCACGAAGGCCTTGAAGTAGTTGCCCACGTCGTAGTAGAGCGTCGTGATCTCTATGGAGAACAGCACGCCCCCGATCGTTGCCGCGAAGGTGCTGGAGAGCCCCACCGCCACCGACGCCGCAAGCACCTAGAATAAATTATAGCAACGCGAGTCACGTACTGGTATCATGTTGGATGTTGGAGGAAGATCCCGTGTGCTGTCGGCTTGGGGACGGAGGATGCGGGGCGTGGTGGTATGAATTCATAGATCGGAGAAAGAAGCCGGCTCTTGGAGAGACCACCACACCACACAATCCCAAACAAAAAAACTTTTCTGTACTTATGGTGGTTGATTCCCTCGTACTACATTCTTGTCTTGAGGAGGGTTGGTTGCAAAGCTCGTGGCCGTTTTAACGCAGAGTGTAAGCCCCAACACAGCGCAAAGGCTGGAGGGAACTCGTCGAGGGCACCCCACCCTATCCGGCGTCGTAAGGCTGTTGCTCGCGTGATTGGAGGAACAAGGGCCAGAGAACAGATGCCTGTGTTGAAAATGCTGCCCGTTCAAGAAGGTGCGGCCGCAAGCCTCCCCCCCCCCCTCCAGAATAGAGGCGGTTCTCCGACTCCAAAGGCTAGATTAGTGGCTCGTCACGTCCAAGCCCCCCCCGCCTCCCAGCTAGATGGGGATACCTATCTTTGGAGGGGGCCAGCGACCAACCCAGCCTTACGAGTCGGAAAACCACCTCCCCAAGCTGCGGGGGCGGGGGAGCTTGGAGAGGGCCAGCGACCAACCTAGCCTTTCGAGTCGGAGAACCACCTCTACTCGTGACGAGGGCGGGGTGCTGCGGCCGCACCCTTGTGGACCGGACTGCATTTTCCAACACAGGGGTCCGTTCTCCGGCCCTCGTTCCTCCAATCACGCGTACTCGTACACGAGCAACGGCCTGTAAGGAAGACTCTGGAATGGGTCTGAACAAGTCCATCCCAACCCCAGCCTGGAAGCACATGCCATTCCACCACATCCTCGTCACAAGCGTCGTGGCTCCCGTCATCTCTCATCTCCGGTCAAGCCGCGAGCTCCTCCCCACGCCCCCCACCCCACCCCTCCCCACTCTCGCTCTATCTGGACTAATCCCGGCGGTGTGCCTTGCTTTGTGCGGTTTCATGGCGTCCCTTCACTCTGTCCAGTTACCCGCCCCAAAGATGGTAGAAATGGTACAAGCCAAAACAACTGCTGCATGGCGTTGTAGACAAGCTCTGCCGCATCATGAACCCCCCCCCCCCCTTCATCCCGGTCTCGAGTGCTCCTACCTGACGCAAGACGGTCTCCTTCTTCAAGATGTCATTGAAAAATGGGACCCGCCGTATGAGCTGGTACGACACCATGCCCCCCAGGTGTGTGTACGGCCCTTCTCGTCCGACGTTGAGCCCCCCGCCCGCCGCCAGCATCAGACCGCACGCCTGCTCCCACCCCCCGAGCCCCCACCATACAATACAACACCCAACCGGACAGCAACGACATGGCGCGCGGTACAATTAAAAACGCTTGAGCGAAGGCTTTCGCGCGAAACAGGGGTGATGACAGCAAAGCTACCAAGAGTGACCCCACCATACAAGCTACCGCAAGTAGAATTGGTTGCTGGGTGTGTGTATAGCTCACAACAGAGCCCCGACAAAGTTTACCAGGCTGCAAGACCTGGCCTGTTTCACAACAACGCTGTGGGCCAACATGGAGAGCGCCAGTTTGCATTAGGTCGAGTTGGAGTGCACGCTTTCGCCAGGCTATGTACCGGGCAACTCTGCGAGAAAAAGGGGCCAACTCCAGAAGACCGAGAGCAAGGCGGGAACGCCGAAAGTGAGACTCAACAACACCAACTGCTGAGGGCAGTGGCGCCTCGAACACACGCACAAGCAAAGCTGCTGCAGTGCTGCACTCACCTTGACCACGACAGCGACGAGGGTAAACGACCGGAGCTTGTTGGCCAGGTCGTCCGTGTCCATCATGTACTTCATCGCCTGCAGCCCACCCGCCCACCGCGTCAAATGCCATAGCAACCACAAGCGCGACAATACGACACGCGTACATGACGACGCGAAATCCCGGATATAGAAGCCACGTCAGATGATCGCGGCGTGATCAGGGCATCCACACTCGAGTGTGTACGCTTATGATCTACTAGTACAACCAGAGCAGTAGTGGTTCGAGCGGTACCGCACACGATTTCCTCCCCGCCCGCAGTGCTGCGCCAGGAAGTTGTGCGAGAGCCCCAACAACACGTCTGTTTTGCCGACTCCCAAGCCGCCATCAAAGGGTGAGCGTCGCCCATGAACACACAGCGACGCTGGCGTGGTCGTCCTCTCCGAAACGCTCCCTCGCAACCCTCGGAGACTACTTAGCGACAGCACCCAACAAGAACATACGCCCACCGAAACAAAAAAAAACGCTTCCACTCACAGCAGCAAGAACACCCAACCAGACGACGAGCGATTCCCCACCGAGAGGAAAACCTTCCACACAAAATAGCAAAATCACCCCACAACAGACGCCCACCAAACACAAAAAAGCTGATAAAAAAAATATGTAAGCTTTCCACACAAGCTTACCGGGATGCCGGACCCTTCCACTCCCGGCGAAAAGTACGCCGTCAACATCGCCGCGATCCCCGTGAGAATGATGTCGTAAAGCAAAAAGAAGAAAAACTTCGCCCCGGTGCTGCCGCCCAGCAACGCCCCGCCCTTTTCCATTATCTCTTCGCCCAAGTGCACAAAAAGTCTGTCCGCGCGTTACGGTTTATTCGTTCAGCATAGCCCGGCGAGGGGAAGAAACAAACGGGAGTGGGCGGGGGGGGGGGGGTTACTCTTACGTTTTGCACGCCTTAACAGTTAGACCATTGACCACGCGTCCTCGAGGGGACAGAGCATTGTTCCCACAGGGGGGGGGGGGGAACTGTCATTGTCTGCTTCACTCGCTGCAGGCTCGTTGGCGGTGCAGTACCAGCCACTTCACTGCATACTATTATAGAAGTACTTACAAAATGTGGAGCACTAGTGTAGTGTCAATAGGCACACGAGAACACGATTGGAGTGAGTGTCTCATCGTGCGAGCCAGGAGGAGGACGACCGAACAGTATTCCGGGGTAATACCATACGCGGAAGCACAACCGAAAAAAGTCCGCGGGAGGGAAAGGACAAGCGCTGTTTGCAGTAAGACACAGAATGGCGGCGCCGCCAACAACAGCGTCACTCTAGCGGCCAGGCCAACCCCCGCTGGCTGGACATAAAACAACTTTCCGGATAACAGCAAGGGCACCCGTGACGGGTATGGAAGATTCAAGCGTCGAGCGCGGCGGGATTAGTTCTACGAGAAGAACCGACAGGCACAGGGGCATGGGCCTCTCCGGGTGCGTGCCTGGCACAGCAAGTAGGCAGGCCACGAAAGAAGGGTGTTCAGCAGGCTACCCTGCACAATATTCCATTCGGCTTCCATCTTCTCCTCCGCGGGGTAGTGGGGGGATGCAACACACAGACGGAACGTAGAAAACACACTTTCACGACTAAAAACTGTCACCGCCAGGTCGATCACCCGCGAACGAACAGCGAGTCCGAGCTCGTCAAACGCACCATGGCTCAAAACGCTACCGGTGGTCAACGAGCGTCAGGAACGATCGGGGCGTCACCTTCCTCGTGTCCAAACGTACATCACGACTACTGTACATCAATAGCAACCATTGCTGACAAGCCCTTTTCGGTCTTGCTTCTGTTCCATCCGGAACCCCCGATCGGTACACGCGTCCATCTGAACCCCTCCCTGCCGTACAAGCAAAACTATAGGCAAGCGTGTGTGCTTGGGAGCTTACTCTATGCCCTCGTCGATGCCGTGAGAGCCGAGGCCGATGACGACGCCCATCACCACCAGGAAGAAGGAGATCTTGTGGTATTGCTTGTACAGCTCCTCGCTCTTGTACGACGTCGTCACACCTCGCTTTTGGTCAGAGACGTGTTTTCTGCGGAATTGAAAACGGTCAGCAAGAGAGAGAGAGAGAGAGAGAGAGAGAGAGAGAGAGCCAGACGGACAGGCAGGCAGGCAGATAGACAGAGAGCACATCAAAAGGATGACATACAGCCAAGAAGAACGTGGGTGTCGGGTGAGGTAGGAGGCGGGGGGGCAACATCCTCGTCCCTGACTAGAGCTGCAGCCAAACGCGTACACTGAAGAGGTCACAAGAGGCGTTCCTGGCAAATATTTTGCCACCGAGAAAAGCACCACCAATCGCAACACAACTTAGCGGACTCACGCTTCGTTCTGCAGCCGGGCAGATGGTCGTTTCATCGTTCCGCCGCCTGCGCCCCCGCCATCTCCACTAGCCCCCCTTCCGAGAGAGTTGATGTGCGACGACGCCACCGACGCCGACGCCCCTCCCCTCGACCTGCCGCCTGCGGAGCTGCCCGGAGTTCCACACCGAGAGCTCGGGGTCCCCGAGCGCGACATGGTCTTCATTGTTTCGCTGCTCCCTCGGTGATGGCGAGCTACACCGCCCGCCTCTAAGGCATCCAACGAGGTCGTGTCTCCTCCCTTGTTCATGCGCGAGGGGAGGGGGGGGGGGGCATTAAAAAGTTTTTTTGCGGTCGTAAAACGCACCCTTTACGAAATAAGCGCGCTATTGTCGGCGGGGTGCGTGAATGTGTGGAAAATCGCTGTACGGGTGGAGGGGGTTGAACACTAGTCACGTTTTGTGGCTTCGTGTCTATGCTTCGTCGCGAGTCTGAAAAAGGAAGTTCAAGTTGGGCAAGCGGTCTACCTGCGGTATACCCGCTGCGAGAGAACACACATGCGTGGAAATACGAGCCACAGGCAAAGCCAATCAAAGAAAAGGGAGCGCCATTCTAAGGCGTTCGTGGCGCCCGCCAAACGTGTACAATCACGTCCGTTGGGACATTTGAAGCCCGCTTTTGAACACACAACGTCACACAGCCGTGGACAAGACCGAAGTGGGCCCAGCACTGCTTTCCTCGTCACTTCAGGACGGACGACAAAGCACAAAGAAACCAAACAAACACCCGCTGTCTCTCCAAGCACTCGATTCCCAAGGACGAGAGCAGGGACGCCTGCACCCAGGCAACGGCAGGCGCAAGGATATTTCCTTCGACATTATACCACGAGACCTTCGGAAGTACTTGCGTACTGCGGTCGCAGTGCTGCCGACCACCGCGCGTGGGACAGCGTTCTGCATACCCCGCAGACAACCACCGCGTAGTCCAGTGAGCCAATCCTCTCTCGCGGAAAGGCGCCAAGTGCAGTGGCGGGCGGGTGCATAGGCAACACGTCGAAGCGGGCAGGTGTTGTCCTTACATGGTAGTGCAGCTACTACAGCAGTAGACAGAGAGAGAACATGACGCTAATAAAGAGCATATTTTGGGGAAGTTTCGGTAGACTAGGTTCTGCTTGCCGCTGGACACGACTCTTAGGTGTGATAGTTGCAGCTCGGCGCTTCAGAATATCTGAAAGGTTCGCGTCTTACACCGATCATAGGACGCTTGTCCCCGATACTTATCGACAAAACCCAGCGCGGCGATATCGGCAGTGTTCCTTGCTGTCTGGTCGCGCACCTCCGCCATACCTTAAAATCTGGAGATGGTTTGGTTTGCTGATGCGAAAACACCGAATGCATGGGCGTTCGACAGCAGTCCGTGTCTAACTCCCCGTGATTCTCCGCACGCGTCATGGACGAAAGGCATAGACTAGTCGGCAGTTGGGCATTTGTGGGGCATTCAACACACGGGTAGAAAGTGGTGCTGAGGCAGACGCCTCCTCGTAAAATCTGGAAAAATAAATACGAACACAGAAAGACTTCCCGTTCGAAATACTACTGCTGTACTGCACAATTCATAAATAAATATGCGGGGCCGTGTCGTCGTTGTGGCGGAAACGCTGCACTATTAAAAGCTGGTGCCGTGCACACATCACAAGGGTCACCAATGTCTTGCAAAACAACAAAAAACCACCGTTCAGAAGCGAGAACAGCAGCAAACGCGTTGCATAACTGCTGCCCAAAAAGGCACGAACATGAGCACACCGTCACAGAAGCAAGCCGGCGAAACAAAACTACTACTCTGTGTATATATATCCCGTGCCGCTCAAACCCCCTATATCTACTTACTGCCTTTCGCACCTCCCTCTGTCGCAAGTGGTACCCGTCTGGTCGCCCCGCGCCCCAGTCCGCCGCCGCGCCGCCGCCGTACGCCATCCGACCCTCCCTTCCGGCGTCCACCGTATTGGTGGAAGCCTCCCTCAGGTGGCGGGCAAAGCTGAGCTCCTCCTGCTGCTGCTGTTGCAAGGCGCCGAGCGCGTCGTCGTCCTCTTCGCCCTCGGCATCATCATCATCATCATCATCATCATCGCCACCCCCCCGGAGGGGATAAGTCACCACGCCGCCGTACAGGAGCTGCCGCTGCTCCTTGTCGCGGGCCGTGACCCCCCCCGGCACCGCCGTGCAGTCCTCCAGCGGCGGCGGCGGCGGTAGCACGCCCTGCTGTTGCTGCTCCCCGCCCTGGTGCGGCTGGTACCTTCCGTCGTCGCTGCTTCTACCCCGGGGAGAAGCGGAAGAACGTGCATCGTCGCCGCCGCTGCCTCCTCTCCTGCTCACGCCGGTCGCGTGGTGGTGATTCGATCCGTCTGGTGGTATTGGCGAAGGTGCAACCGTTGCCGCGCTCTCGTCTCGGTACGCTGACGGGGGCGGAGTGGAGGGCGCGTAGCGAGCAGCTGGTGACGTCTGCTGCTGCTGGTGCTGCCCTACAGAGAAGGCCTGGAGGGATGCGGCAAGATCTTCCGCAGAGAGGGAAGCAGCAACAGCGGGAGGGGTACGTCCGGCGACCAAGGGAGAAGGGAGAGCGGCCGCGGGCGTAGTAGGCTGGGTGAAGCTAGAGGGCTCGAGCCGGAAGAGATCGACGACGCTGGGCACCGAGCGCTGGGGCTCGTGGCGTCGAACGACGTGCTGGTGCTGGGAGTCTTCCTCCTCCTCCTCCTCTTCCTCTTCCTCGTCTCTCCACTGCTCTGCCCGCTTTTCCTCGTCGCCGTCGTGCTTTGGGTCTGTCGAGCTCGCTCTGTCGGTGCTGGAAGAGCCCCTACCGTGCCGCTCCTCCATCGACGCCGCCCGATACTCCCTCGCCGCGCTGCTGCCCGCACTCCCGCCGAACACACGCGAGACCAGAGAACTCGCTCGTCTGTGGGGGGCTTTCCTGCTGCCCGCTCCAGCTGCTGCTGCTGCCGCTGTCCCTACTCCAGTCATCAGTCCCGCCGGAACGTGGTGCTCGTTCTGGGCGGCGTTGTGCTGCTCGCGTTGCTGCCTCTGCTGCCGCTGATTGTTCTGCACCGTGGCCACGGCTATCTCCACGGACAGGGCGCTCACGTCCGGCCGGTGAACGTCCGCGCTCGAGTGGCATCTCCTCCCCCTCTCTCCGTGGAGACGCCCCGCTTCCGGGGCCGCGGCCGCCGAGGAGGCGGCGCGATGCCGCAGTTCCCTGCTGCTGCTGCCGTCTGCCTCCTCGTTGTCGCGGTCATCTTGCTGCTGTTCGTGGCCCCGCATAACCCAAACGGTACTCACGGTCGTCGGAACAGACGCACATCCACCCTGGCGGCGGGGTTACCGCGTGGCGAGTGCGTGTTTGTGTGCGGTCGCGGAACAAAGCAATCACAAAACACCAGACAACAGACAAGCGTACGACACACGCGGGCAAATAGCCAGCGGAAAGTGGAAGGAGCCCCGCACATTCGAGGCTCCGCGGTGGGTGGCTGCACCAAGAGTTCACTGCATATGGGCGTGCTGTACTTGTAGACGAAACCGTCTAATTTTGATACGCACGACGACCTCCGAGCACCGAGCGCACACAGAGTGGTGTACACCCCACACACGAAATGGCACAGCCGTGGTAGATGTTGGCGGGGCGAGGTGTCTTGAGAAGTTGATGTCGGTGTAAAAACACTTGAGGACCGTTACTTGTGTGACCTTGTTGAATGGAATGGTTGAATGTGACCCATTGCCTGCCGAATGCGTACCTGGCCACAGGTACGCAGTAACCACGTAGCGTCGGTGCCACGTACTCCGATGTGGCCTACCTTTTATTTCGATATGTCTGTGCCCGCCGCCGATTTCCCGGCCAATATCAGAATCACCGTTCGATTATCAACAGCAAACTAAACGAACACAAAGATTATGAGAGATTATTTTGCGTGCAGGCCATGGCAATGCCTCCACATGTATATGGTCGAGCCTCCCTGCTATTCATCCTATTATTCACATAGGGTCGTGTAACATCGTTCCTCGCGACTTATCACATTCACGTACGATACTACTGTAGGAGAGTATATCGTAGATCATCCTACTTGCTTCGCCTGCGGCCACCAAGTTCCTCTGCTGTTGTAGCTGAACAAACTAACTGTTTGGTCCACCTACTATGCTACTTCATACGCCGTTTGGGCGGCCTTCATGTATACGCCACACATGGTTGAAAATAACTGCAACTTCGGTTGGACGGATATTCTGAACGTCATCAGAGGCCCACGTTTTCTACGGCAGCAGTACAGAGGACGCGGGTTGTCGCGATGAACGACGATGATTCGTGGGAGGATGCCGCCCAAGCTGCCTTGGAAATACATCGCCGTGTGATATCAGCGGTGCGCGAACGCGTGACGACAGGAGCCAGAAAGGCATGTTTTGATGTACTCTTGGAATGAATTCAGAAAAATACGCGTACAGAGTATAGTGTGTGCTGTGTATTGCGCCATGTAACTTGGGCGACCGTGCAGCCTGTCTGTCCGCAACAAATTTGTGCCACTCTTGTACAGTACTACTGTAAACTATCGTGGTACATAGCAAGAGTTTCGATTTCAACTCTTGTAAGCTGGGCTTTCGGAACGTTTCCCCACCACTTGTAGGTACGTCCAAGAACACCAACATCACGATCGCGTTCGGGTGCACGAGTACGGCCGGGTTCTGCGCCACCCGGGAGATCAAAGCGCCGCTCGCCTTGCGTAAGCCCCAACCGTGACAAAGTTCTTGTGCCAAGCCTGGCGAATGTTTCGACCGTGAAGACGATAAGTAAAGCGGAGCTGCAAGCATGGGCAACCCTGAGGCGGACAGTAGTGGAGGAGGACAAGCAACAACCTCGTCAATCGACATCAACAGGGACACTCGAACGGGCTCGCCCAAACGATGGTCTTACTGAATATCAACTGAACGTAGCAGGGTGGGCGCAGCAGCAGCAGGGTCCAGCAAGGTTATTGCCGACCCCGTTGACGTCATGGGGGAGAGAAACCGGTGGACATCGTAGGACCGCCGATGACTCGTATGTCGGTTCAAACCGTGGGAGGAACTACAATAATATTGAGAGACGTATTGATGCAGATCGACACGTGCTAGCTCGAGATCAGGATCTTGGTATCAACAGGACGTATCTCCAGGAGCTCGACGCTGTTCGTCAGAGGGATATCGAGAGGGGTCGGGATAGTTCTATTCGGTAAGCTGGTCTCGCGACAGACTTTATGGTACAGCCAAGTACAGCATGGAGGCGCGCCGGCTAGCGGGCGCGTGCTAGATACCGCAGTGAAATTGTGGGTAGCCTTGCATTTTACCCTCGCCTACCTGCAGCTAGCTGAGACTCATCACAACTAGGGCATGACGGTATACGTACATCATTTGTAGTCAGGTGCACCATCACATGTAGACCCATCAATAGTTCATTTTGTTGAGAAGCACGATGGCCACTATTTAGACCACTAGTCAGCGTTCACTACTGGTCTAGTGGTCATCGTGCTTCTCAACAAAAGTTAATGCCCGAGTCCGATCCAGCTTTCTTTCAAGCCACGAACACGTCTCCCCCCAGGGTGTCCATCCCTGTCATCAGCGCTGTGCTTGCCGCATCGGTACAAGCAGGTCATCGGACTATTTCGTGAAGCCTAGTTCTTCAGGCTTTTGTCTTCCTCTTGCTTCTGGCGCAAATAAAGTCCTCGAAGGACAACATGCTCACGGGGAAATTCGAACCCCGAACTTTAGCTTTTGTTGAGAAGCACGATGACCACCACGTAGATCACTAGTCTATTTTGTGGCCATCGTGCTTCTCAACACATAGTAGCACTTCACGACCTACAACAACTCACACCTGTCGTCGAATCTGCTGCACGTGCCGGGCTTGACCGTTCTTCTACGTAGCTATCTCCGCGAACACGCCAAAAAGGCTAGGAAAGAAGAGAAAGCTTTCGCCAGGACGCTTTGGGCGGAAGCAAGGGCCAATGAGGACAGGTGTGCAAGAAAACTGATCGACTGGCTTGTGTACAACGAGGTACTGGGTAGCCCCAAAAGTCCCAAAACGCGTGTACATATGTACGAAGAGCTTGCTTGCTGCTCAAACTCGTAAGTCCGACGAACTTGGCGTGTTCCCACCCCCCCCCCCTACATTACACGACGCCCACCTGCTTGCCCGACTCTGGCGCCCGCCTCTGTGCGCAACCAGCCAAATCGAGATGATACACAAAGCGACCCAGTGGTCCCGAGACCTGGGCGAAAACGCTTTGTATGTGCCTCACCGAGTGAAGGGAAGGTTGCACGTCTTGAAGATGGAGAACGGAGATAGAGGGTCGAAATTCGACTGGGAACAAGGGCGAGGCGGTTGCGTTTTCGGAGATCTTGATGAATTCAGACCAACCATTTCGATCAACTCCTTCGTCAAGGGCGACTATGCAAGGTGAGGGTAATCCTGCTTCGCACGAACTTCTACGTTGTTCAGACTCCCTACTGATTGGGCAATAATTCTTGGCTGCTGTATACCACCCTTGCACGAGGGTCGTCCATTGGCTATTTCCCATGTGCTAGAAAAGGTTGTCACGCGCTGGTTTAGTGGCTGCGTGCTATTTCGATGTGATATGAGTGTCGCATTACACCGTCAGCGAGTTTTGCGCAGTCTGCATGGAATAAAAAACAGCCGTCAAGTCAATGAGCATTAGCGAGACTTCACCTCTTAGGGCGTAACAATTTGTCTTTGTGCAGGAAGTCCTTGCTCAGTCAAAAGAAACGCGAACCGGAACCGTTGTAGTTACCTATCTAAACTCTTCTCGTGTCCTAATCCACCAGACTGGAGAAAGCCTTCCACGCTACTCGCGGTGGGGTCTGCGGCAGCAGCGACTTAGCGGCGACTAGGTGCACCCAATTTAAGGTGATGTTATCCTCTACGCTCCCAGGGTGCATAGCTGTGATGTGCCGGTCTTGAGAGTTGCCAAATGGCCCATCGGAGTTCTGGCCAGAATTATTGCGCCTGGCAAGCTGTAGCGGTGTTGCGAATGGGTTAAACTGTGGTCAGCGCTTTGCTCCAACACGTACAATTCACGTGTCGCCTCGCCCTCTCTGCGAATCTGCCGAGCAGGAACCACCTAAAAGCAAGGGGATTTCATCACGCAAGCTCTTGCGAGATCGCCCTGGCGCAGCTAGCACTTGCCGTGAACTACACCAGCTGATCAGGGATACCGTCGGGCTTGTGGGAGTGCTGACCTCGCAGGCAGTGGAGCTAGAACAGCAGGGGTGGAATCGCCGAACGAAGTCAGATTGATTAGCGAACGGGAACAACAAGATGGAGATGCGAAGGAAAGCGTGGCTGTGCTTCGTTCAGGAGTGGTGCGGCCTTCAATTATGTCAACGCTTCTGCTCGCTATGAATACAACTATAGTTTCTTCATCCTGATGGAGGCGCAAACGAATGTGCGTATGCGACAAGCCTTCCGCAACAATTAGTTCCAAGTTCTTTAGAGAACGCCCCTGGTCATGAGAACGCCAACCCCTCCAAAAGAAACCCAAAAAAACTTGAGAACCCGTTGAGGCTATCGTTCTCATTTTTTCCCACCCCCCGACCTCTGAGTTCGTCCGGTGGAGTTCATTTTCGCTGAATTTTCAGCCCCATGGGGTGTTTACAGACATAATTTAAGGCCTTCACTTCGACGTTGCTGTCGTCGTCATCGTTGACACATTGTATCATTACGTATACCATGATTCTACATCGAGTGCCGCCTTGGTGCACTCCTGCCGACAGACGTACGAATTTGCAGGTCGCAGGTGTGTCAGTGTGTGCGACGCCGACGTCCGTATGGTACCCCACTTCTCACAAAGAATCTAGCGATATTGAGTGCTCTTGCCCATGGATTTCAGAAAGTCGCTCGCGAAACTGGCCCTACAGTAGTAGCTCAAACGCCCAAGAAACACCACAAGGCATTTCGAAACTACGCATGGTCGGACAAAGAGAGACGACAGTGAAATCAAACAGTCTCGAAAGAAGCAGGTCTCCCTAGTAGTGATTCCTTTACTCTGCTTTGTGAACTGTGAACTTTTCATCGGCCACGTTGTAAGGCCGGGCATTCTGGGAATCCACGGCAAAATGCAGTGTTTTAGGGTGCTTGTCCGGGGGGTGCTAGAAACAAAAAAATAAGACCATCACCCGGCAGTTTTCGGCGCCGGGTTGAGATGTTGGTCGTTATTGTTTCGCTCTTTGTCTCGAACCCCCCCTGAAAAGTGGTCATTTGATTCGAAACTGCACATGCGCCCCCGCGGGCGTGTTTGCCTGCCCGGCTTGTCGCGTGGACATGGTCAATCGCACGAATGGCCCCTTGAAGAGAGATATGTGGTTGACCCAAGCTCCGCGTACGCAGAGAAGAGAGAGAGAGTAAGGACACCATGCATGCGGAGCACGTAGCGGCTCCGTCGTATCACACTTTCTCCCTACCACATTTCAAGAGACTTCGTACATCGGTGTCACCACCGAGTACACCAAACAGGACGTTCTTGGAGGATGAGACGGGTAAACCTTGAAACGAAATTGCCTGACTACGTAGGAGGAGGCATTTTAGGCTACAACAGCTGAGGGTGCCATTCACGTTGTAATAACTTCTTCTCGATGTGATAGCGTGTCCTTTCCGTACGGTCTAGCGACTTCAAGCGCTACTATGCTGCCACTTTCTAGATACTCCCAAACGTCTATCGAAGTTTGGAACGCACCGCGTCCCACTTCGTCACCAACGAAAGAGGCATTCCTATCATCAGCACACCTCACATCTGCCAATTCGGCACCTATTGGATCTATGTACATATAGAACGGTTTCGATCGCTGCAAGACATCTTTATACATGTTGCTTCGAAGCTCGGCCCGGACCTCAACGCGGACGAAGCCCTGCTGTAGTTGTCTCGCGCAAATTGTTCCCTTCGTGCAGGTTTCAACGCCATTTTCCCGCTTGCTGTCGTCTTGTTTCCCCGACTTTAGTCCGGCGGTCGCCAAGACACCTTCCCAATCGCTCTTGCTTGCCGACGACGATACATGTATGTCCACCACAAAAACATTTTGCAAAACGCACAGCGCCGTTCGCCCCTGGACGGTGATGCACCACTCTCCATCCCTCCCTACGTGAAAATCCCCCACGAGCACCTCCACGGTGATTGACGTGTTGATAGCACCGACCACTTCTGCGGGACTCTCGCTGGCCGGACGCACAAACGAAATCCGGCTGTTCCCTCGACCCAGACAGAGCGCGCGGGTCATTCCAGCGACCAAGCGACGTGAGTAGTAATCAGCGTCCCAGGCCGCCGGTCGCTCCTGGATCAGAGCTCGAAGGCGATCGCTATCACCAATATCGAATTCTCTTACATCAAACCTCCTGCGCCACCGAGCCTCATGCACCTCAGAGGTGCTGACCACGACGGCCCACGCTCCGAGCTGTCCGACGGCCAGAACCGCTACCTTTGCCGCCCTCGAGGATATCTCGGCGAGGGCGTCGGCGTCGGCGGCACGGTGAACGAGAAACACCTCGGTGATCAGCGGCGTGAACGAAGAACCCTCGCTTGAATCAACCACGTACACCGAAAGCCTTTGGGGTAAATCGTCGATCCGCATCTTGGAATCTACTCCAGCGGCGGCAAGAATCGACGCGAGACCAGGCCGAGCCGCGGCGGTTGCATCGGCGCCACCCGGGGTTACCACAACAGAAAGGGCCACGCGACCCAGGCCTGGTGTGTTGAGAACGCGGAGCATGTCAGGGACCTGATCGTCGGTACCGACTACAAGCATGTCAAGCGGGTGGGTGCTGACAGCCGCCGTCCCCTGATCGCCGTCGCCGTCAACAGGAACACCGTTTGACCGAGAGCCGTGAGCAATTCCGTATCCCCAGGCCTGTTGGAGGTTGTCAGAAACATCCCCTTCGAAAGCTTGTTGGAGCAAAAAATCGTGTTCACCGTTCGTCTGGCAGTAGACGACATCGTACCAGCGGAGCCCTTCGCGGCCAGCATATCCAGGGCAACCCTTGCCATAATCTCTTACATCGGGCTCAGGCTCTCTCCCCTCTCCGTCTGCCTCACTGCCTGTCCTGGGGGTACAAAGGGGTCCCCACAGCACCATCCCTTTCAGCTGGGCCATGAGCCTAGAGGTTGATCCCCGTCGGGTAGCGGCTGTGCCCGCCGGCTGTAACAATTCCCGCACGGTACGGTCGGCCGTTCCACCCCACCGCCCCGTTGCCCAGACTACGTCGTACTCGCTCAGGCAATCGGCATCGCGCGGCAGCCGCATGATCCTTCTTTTTCGATAGCTTGCTCCATTCGCTTTATGTTTGTTCTCTTCCTCCTGTTCCCTTTCCAACATTCGGTCGGCTGTGGTCCTGTTGGGGCCTCGCGCACCACCCCACGGCTGTGGTGACGTGAACCAGCTAAAGAGATATGTCGATCCGAGCAGTAGGTCTACCGCTGGCACGAACGTTGATTCGAACGTGATGTCGCCCTCTAGTTCGTGGTCGACCACTATTGCGACGGTAAGGCAACCCCTCTGCCGAGAACATCTCGCCGCCTCCTCACCCCGGCCGCCTTCCCCTTCATCTTCGACGAAAGCGGTGGCTGCGCTGTTCCCATGGAGCGACCCCACGAACGACAGGATATCCTCTACCCGCTGGCTCCAAGTATGACCGGCCTCGATCATAGCCCGTCGCTGCCGCCGGTTGCTCGCCTCGGTATTGTCACATCCTACGGCTTGCTGTGACTGCAGCAGACTCTCGATATGCCGCGCCACGTCCCCGCGGCGCCTCGCGTAGAGCAGCGCGTCCCCAAAGGTGGCCTCAAGAGCGGGAAAATGGTCGGAGATGAGAGGCGCACCAACGGACAGCGCCTCGTAAACCCGGTTGTTGATCTTGCCGCTCCCGCGCTGGGCGTCCGTGGTGACCCCGACGACCGCTAGCGCGCTGCCGTAGACGAACGCCTGAGAGGAAACATGCATTGTTGGGCACGAGTAATACGGAAAGATTTTAGGTACGGGCTGGTGCCGAAAGCAGGAAGTATGGACTTACAAAATTTTGATATCGTTTGCATTCGGTTGTGCGATGCTGTTCAAGGGTTCCACAAGAATCGGTGCCATACCATCATGCTCATATACTTGTGCAGACGTCAAAACAAACCCGACTCAACGAAAACAGATCCCACACTTTCGCAACGGTGGCGTTAGATGATTGAGCTCCTTGATACATAGGTCTCATACACCATAGTCTACTCAAGTTTCAGCACAACTAACCAGGTCTTCCTGTGGCAATACCCCCCTCCAGTATTCTGAAAACTCGGGGAATTCCTGCCACCCGTTGCCGTAGATGTCCAGGCCGAACGGCGCCGCTTCCCGCAGCATCCAGGGGAGCATTTCCTTGTGCTCCATGAGTGTTGCTGATCCCACGTACACCACCCTACCGTGACTGGTACGGTCCCAACGTCCGACAAAGGCATCGTCACCGCCACCGTTGTCTTCGTAGGGGTGGCCGCGACTCGAAGTTATTGCAGCTGCCGCCGCCCTAGGGCGAGGTGGGTCCGGGTAAAAAGGAAACGCCTCGGTGTCGACGGCTAGAGGAACGAGCGCTGTCGGTGCCGATTGACGAAGGTACTGTCGAGTAGACTCACTGTTGGTGAGGAAGCCTTCGACATCGAGAGCAGCCACGTGTGGTAGCCCGGGGTACTCTGGATCTAAGCAGTAGAAGAGGACTGTGACCGAATGAGGATGGGTGATGGCCCGAACCTATCCTAGACACAATAAAGAGTGGTGCGCAACAGGGAGCGGACTTGGTTGAGCTGGTAGTTGTCGACAACGCGAAAGAAACACACCACCTTTTTTCAAACTTTTCCCCCAAAGGCTGCCATTCGTCGTCGCAACGGATGTTTCACCCGAGCTCGTGAGCTGTCGCAAAGGGTTTGGTAGATGCAGTAGTCAAACTAACGTCGTTCCACACAGCATGAGGAAATTACATACAGCAATAGTGCAACTCCAAGTCTATATTACAAGACATACCTTGAAAGACTGCTGCTCTACACAGCAATAATCTAGAGAGTCACACGAGCTTACAGACTGCTTTCTCGCCACACGAGTTTAGGAGGTCAAGACGACAATTGAACAATAAATACAGTTGCCTAACCTCATGGATGAATGAGTTTATCATTCCAAACCAACCCTCGATGATGACTAGATCCCAGCTCCTGGCGTGCAATCCCTCGTAGTTAAACGGGTAGAATATTCGTACGTGTGGTTGGTCCTCTTGTTGCGTGATCTTGGTCCCTTCGCCGCTCGAGCGTCCTCCCTCTACGGTGCTGCCGCCACTGTCCTTCCTACCCGATGACGTAGCATTATCGCTTATTTTCCAATCCCTCCTCAAGAGAGCTTGCCTCACCCCTGCCATGGTCACCGCCGAACCGACCACCGCTTGTGGTGAAGGCGGGCGCTGCGCATGCAGCGCCACGTTCCTAAGAACACCGCGACTCTCAACAGTGAAAGAAGAGGTGGGTGAGCCCAAACATCCGAGACAACCCAGAAATATCAGGTGTGTGAAGGTGCACCTTCTTTGCACGTGGGTCATGATGGCGCACAGCACCTTAGTGTTCCAACTCTGCCGTGTGCGTGCGCGTGTGAAAGTGAGGACGACACACACAAGGCAACAGGATCCGACCGCCCAAGGAAGGATCTTCAGGGGGATCGCAAACAGTGAAGGTACGGGGGGGGGATACCATGCCAGGGGCTCCGGTATTTCCCGAGCATCCCACAGCACAGCGACGTACCAGCACCTCACACAACGTAAGCAACGACACGAGAGGACGCGCTGAGAACGTAAGAGAAGGCTCTCCTGGCACGTAAATAAATTTAGAGGCGTGATCTACTCGGTTTGCTCTGGGCGAGAAGCAGTATGGCCAGGGGCTTGGTGAACGCGAGGTCGTCATGTCGGAGTTGCCTCCTGCTGGTGGCGGCTTCCGCAGCAACAACGCAGGCCTTCTTCGTGGGGGGGCGGTGTCCTCTACAAGCGAGAGGAGCGAGAACAACAGCAACACCCGCCGAACGACAATATAGAACAAGAGCGCGAGCTGGGCTTTCAATGATCATCCCACCCGCAGAGTGAGTTGAAGCGTCCCCCACGCACGGGCGTGGTTGGTTGAATGTTGTTGTAGCTGGTGTACGCAGACCTTGCCGTGTTGATGGCCGCGAGACAAATTGATGACACCACTCTCAAACATGAACGCACTCACACGCCGTTTGCGGTATGGTGTGATGCTCCTTGCCAAGGTGTACTAGAGTTGCGGACAACCACTTCATATACTGCAAGCGTAGGAAGAACGTCCAGAGACATCGTCTATCTACTGCCAACCACGACGCGAGGTCTGTAGGTTTTTAGCCTAGTGTAGCTGTTGCTGCCGCCATGGGCGCAACACATACTCAGCAGTGTAGTACTGCCTTGTAAGATGGTGGGAAGCAAGAAGCAAACGGCAGCCTTTATATGCATGCACGAGTAAGTCTGAAACGCACCATTGAATGTGCATGCACTGCTGTAAACACTGATATCGATATGGACTACACAGGTCCCAAGGGTACGGTGTGCACTCAGTAGCTACGGAACACACCAGCTGTCCGTGAACACGTTGTTTGCTCTCCTCCTCACAATTTCGCTTCACCTTAACACCAACAACCCACGCCGATGCCAGGTTGGGGTACGTGACTGAGGCCTACGACGACTTTCCAGACTACGTACCCAACATGGGTGCTTGGGGAGAGTCGAAGCCGGGAAACACTCCGGGTGAGAGGCAGGGACAGATAGAAGGGGGGGCAGCCATGAACAGGAACGGACGGGGGATGGGGGGGGGGGGGGAGAGACAGAGAGGCCGAAAGAGTGGGGGGTTAAGAAAGAGGGAGAGAGGGAAGTGTCGAGGACGTTGTTGTGGTCTCAGGGCGGCGTCCAGTAAAGAGGCGGTTTGATGTTTGTTTCGCGAGTGCAGGAGTCGCTCGCATACAATAGCTCGCCGACATTCCTTGAATCGGAGCTGGAGACTTGCAGGACACACCAAAGAGTGTTTCATTGTCGTAGGTGTCAAATGCACGACTGCTTTGAACACCAATAGCTGTCCTGACATACCCACCGTATACCTTGATAAAAACAAAACGTAGTGTTGACTTTGAGATGTTTCCCGATCGTTTCAGAGGCTTACCCGGCGGACTCGCTGGATCTGGACGCCTTTTGGAACGGAGGGGCGGAGGCGGTGGACTTTCACGACATCCCGGTGGTCGACCGGCCTGTCTTCGTGGAGATGAAGCAGTTCATCGACAATGAAGGTCATACATACATTATAATCGCTTCCGATTTTCGCATGATTGGCCCAATCGTTTGCCAAAGGACTAGCCTGAGTTGTTCGTGTTTTTTTAGGCCGATTCGATTCCATTTTGGTCTTTAGTTTTCCTGTTTTTCCGGCAGGATTATGAAAGTTAGAACGTTCTGGAAATGGATGAATGTAGTGTTTCGAATTGAGTCAGACATCGTTGCACCAGGCTGCATGGCACCTCGAACATAGGACTTGTGGGCACTTCTCTCGAAGACATGCAACTGAGGGCGATTATTAAGCTTGGCTGACCGCCAGGAGCACGAGGGCGAGGCGATACGTTCGTGGTGGGTGTTGAACGGCGACCTCTCAAGCAACGATGATCGATCCGGCAGCAGCACCGTCGTGCTCGGGGGGTCCGTTTAGCTTGCACTCCATTTGCTGGAGCATGCGTCACAGACATCGTCTGTTGCGGAGCCCCCGTGAGCGGAGGTCACTGCTTGCTGTGTAGACTCGAGTCCGACCCATTCTGCGCTTCGATGTTCGCTGCCATCTTTCGCTGTATGTTAGGGCTAACGATGCTCCCATCGGAGACCGAGCTATTGGAGAGGGATATCCAGACCGAGCGGAGAGCACGCGCTAAGGCCAGGAAGGAGCGCTTCGCGGACGAACCGGTGAATACGTTTGGGGGAGTTGTATGCACTACCTGCTGCTGGCGTTTGGGGGCGCAAGAGCGCCGTAAGACAATCGACTGTTTTTTTCCCCCCACATCTGTCTGTCTACAGATTGGGTAGGATCTTGATTTCGATGTTGTGCACGGATTGGAACATGTACCAGTGTATCTACGCATTTCGAGAGAAAGCGAGACAGCTCGTGTCCCAAACCGCGTGTAGTCGGATCGCTCCCCCGTACGCGATGGAACATGTTTCCCATGTACACGGGGCGGTCTCGCGTAGCCGTGCAACATCACAACACCATCGTTGGAGGCGTGGCATGAGCAGTGGCAGGATGTTTTTTGACAGCCTCCGTCATTTTTTGGGCGTCAAAAGTGATGACGTCATGGCCAGGGTTTACGCACTCCACCACCGATGTTTCGCGAAACGCTCGCTTTCAACGCTGAGAATGTGTGCTTCGCACTTCTATCAAGTTTGCGGGGCGCAAAGAGCTCTCTGCGTGAACCCTTCGGTTTGGTGGTCGGTGGCGTTCTGCACGGTACGCGATGTTGACGGTTATTTGGAAGATTTATTGAACAGGAGCACGTGTCTCTTCGGTGCCATGCTTGCCAGTCGCTGCTTCTTGCTCTCGGAGCTGTTGAGTGTGGTCTGTGAACGATGACGTTCAGCACCCGATTTGAGTTCCTCAAGCCTACTTCTGACACAACAGCAGTAGTGCAACGTGGACACAATGTTGGACACCCTGGCATTAGGACGCCCCCATGCGAACAGGTCTACTGAATGTTGTAGCTCCCGTTCGGACAACCCGCCTTCGGTTGTTTCTTTTCCCTGGCCCATGTTTCATGCTCTCGGCCCGTGCTCCCATGATGCTTGCATCATTTGCCACCGATTTGCTTCTACTATGTACGTCCAAAATAATCACGGGATCCACCACCCGTCGTGCTTTCGTACACGCCACCAGTGAGATGCGTTGTTTCGATCACGAAGTCGGCCATCCTGAGACGCAGTGTTTTTCTTTAAAGTTAACCACTCCCTACCCACAATATGAAACCGGTCGGGTCTTACATACCGTGACAGGATGAGGATCTGGTAGACGACACCCTGGACGACTTGCCGCTCGACGACGAGATCGAGGTCGGCGTGATCGACGTCCCGCCGCCGCCGGTAGATTTCGACGACAGTGACGGTTACGACGACGGGTACGACCCGGACACGGGGGACCTCGGAGGGGCAGAGAGCGATGGCATGTACTAAATATTCAAAGACGCTTTGGTGTGTGTATCCCCTCCCCCAGCACCCTTGAGGGCAACTGAGAGCCTTGATTTAGCAACCGAGTGTGTTATGGCTGCAGGAAAGCGATCCTTCGTGTAGCAACCAAACGTTTCGTTGCTGCAGGAAAGAACCTGTGGAATGATGTTGCTGCTCCCGGTGCTAGTGAGTCTATCTGGTGAAGACGTTCTGCCGAGGGCAGCAGGTTTCGGCGATACCGGAATTGTTGGTGGTTGTTGGTAGACCAGCGGTGGAAAGCCTCGGAAGACAAGTATGGTTGCTCATATTTGCGACCACTGCCGTTAGAGCGAAACAGGCAGCACCAACAATCAGCGTGAGGCAGTATCTGTTCTCATGGCCACAAGGGCTGGCTGAATTTATGTAAGAGTTTTGTTTCTTTCGGTGATGGCCTCGGTGTCGTTTTGGTGCACGGGACCACACGGTCGGGGGATGTTGAAGCCCTCCCTGTCAAAGAACACGAAAACAACCTCAAAGACATGACGCTTCTTTTCTCCTCGCTCTGAGTACACAATGTTTTTATCCCCAAGACTACGTTCAGGTCTACGTTACCACACGTATGCCAGCACATCCCTGGAAACAGATGCATCCATAGGAGGAGAGTTCAGCAACGCGGGGGTGTGCTTGTTACCATTAGAGCCCTTCCTTGTAACTCCGCTCACACGCTTACATGCCCTTAACGTGAAAGGTACCCACTCAATCTCTGGCATACAGGGCATTGCACGACCCTGCAACATTTCCTGCTCCTACCCACCCTCCCGATCCACCCACGCCCCACCCGGGCGGTTTTCGCACAGCCCCACCAATCCTCCAAAGGAAAAGGGGGAAATCACCTGGCCGGAACGTCTTCTACACGAATCCTCACGAATGGTGAACCCAGGCTCAACCCAAATGTATGGCAAAAAAATTATGTACAGAGATCACCTCCCCGCATCGGACGAGTGTGCTACTATGCATCCCTTTTCTAAACAACAGCGAACTTGTACTCTACTCGGGAGAACAGAAAAGTAGCACGAACATCTGGTCGCACTTGAAGAAGAAGAGGTGTTTGGTTTCGTGGGTCACGGAGCAACCAAAACTCCGTCCCGACTGTTTTCGAAATTGGAAGAGCGATATCCGAGAGCGAAAAACGAGTCCGATATGTGCAGTAGGCGGGAAGACACAACGAACGGGTGTTAGAGACTGATGGGTGGTGGGCATTGTAGAGGCTGGCTTATTGTAAGGTACCGATATGGACGGGCAAAGACACTTTGCATATCCTGTGCAATAGCACTGTGCCCTAGGGTATTTCCAAGACCCTCGATGTGCCTCCCCCTTAAGAGGTCACGGTACACAAATTGCCTCTCCCCATCACCTCCTCTGCACCGTTTCCACTCGCAGGCGCTGCTTCTAACCGTCCACACAAAACACGTAAGAATTGAAATCTTTCGTGATGCGGAGTTGATCCATGTGCCATCATCGCGCAACGATTGTACACTTGTTGTTTGGCCCGTCTGGACTCCCCTACTGCCGCTGACAGTAACGTATGCCTCACCACGCAATGCCAGGAGCCTTCGCACTCCTCGTCAAAATGCTTCTTAACATCAGTCGCTATGTCTTTCTCGATGTCGTATTTGTCCATCGCCAAGCACACTCGCCGTTTTGCCTTCTGTTGGAGTTCCTCCGGTATCTCCGCGATCAGTACCTCGATCTGTGCATCGAGACACACGAAAGGAAGGAAGAACCGAACTGTAGGTTTTGCGCACGAGCGGTGGACCCTTTTTTGATACAAATACCTGGTAGGTTTTCAAGTTGATCTCGCGGAGAGCTATGAGCCTTTCTCCGTGCACCGCGCAGTCTTCATGCACGCTGATTACTCGATCGGAATAGACGACCCCCTTAACGCCCTCGCCGGATCCATGCAGAAAAGACGCCATCCTCACTGGAGCATCAGGGTGTCTGCATGTCAATCAGACGTAGCGGTTCGACTCCAGCCTGATCGCAAAATTGGTCCCAGAGCAGTTTTCACCGCCACCGAGAACACTCGCTATGCCGTAGTGGTCAGGCTGGTGACGACACAAGTCTGAACATGAAAACTAAATACACTTCGAAGCGATTATCTTCGCGGCTAAAACCTCTGTACCACCACACCACCATTCCGACCCTTCTGCACATGCGCATCTTGTGTGTCAACGGTATGACGATTGAAATGAATTCAACGACGCCGCCAATCGTACACACCTTCCTTTCCGTTACTGACTCTTGTGCCTCCGAAGCTGCCTGCTCATCGTCCGCCATATGCCTGCAGATATATGTGGCGTCGGAGCCTCTACGTGTGGAAATAAATGTTGTCAAGAGAAGGAGGGGTCGGGTTAAAAGGCACAGGCTGTCAGGGTAGATAGAGGATAATTTTGTGGAACACACCGAATATCACGAGAATATGGGGTCATGTTGTAATCAAAGAGTGGACCAGCGATGCATTCTTAGCTCACAGACAACGACTGATGTGCGCGGCCGACCTACCTTTGGGTTGCTGGTTCGATGCTCCAGTGCAAATACCCGCACTTAGACTACACAGTCAGTAGTTGCCCGCCCGCGTCTTTGACCTCCAAAGGTCTGAATGAAGAATAAGTATATGCCCAGTTGGTTGGTGGTTTTGCTGCGCAGCCCTCTGGCCGGGGACAAACCGCCGTTCAAAATCAGAGCTTCACCGTCCAGCAGTACTAACTACAGCAGAGGAACACCACGTCCACAAACTACATGGGGAGAGAAAAGCGTTTGCTACGTCTGCGCGATCCAGAACAATCTGCACAAATGCCGCACACAGCCAGCTACGATAACCCGTCAGGAACACACCTATGTCAGTCTGCTCGAGGCACCGTGCAATAGTTTGTATCTTTCGATAGAAAGGATGCGCTGTAGAATAGTCTCGACTTTCGTAGATCCGAGAACACGAGACGAACCGAAACATGAAACGGTCGCATTCACTATTTTTTTTTTCAGAATCTCCCACAGTCCACAGTCCCGCATGTCCACAAGATACAAAAGTAACAGCGAAGGAACTCGGCTCTACCATTCATTTACGAAATATTCTCTTCGGGAAGAGCGTATACTGTTGTAGCGAGACCTTGTCTTCGACACAGAACGGACTAGCTAGGCTAATATTGCTTTGTACTCTTCGCTACAACGAAGACTTGTCTTGCAAAGATACTCCCAAGATCTAGCGAGAGAGACTAATAGTCTAAATTACGTGTGAATGTACATTTAGTCTAGGTCTCGACGTGTACCGTGCTGCCCTTGGATCTTGTGCAGAACGCGTAGACTGCACATGGGTATGAAAGAGAGTTTGTTCCATCAATTATGTTTCCCTCCACAGGACGTTAAGCTTCTTTCAGCGATCGCGATGGGGTATGGAAACTTATTAAGTACCTCTCAAGAAGAGAGGAGGAGAACGTTGTCTGTGACACGAAGATGTCAAAATTCTTGCAACCGAAGCCGTTGTCTGTCTCCACACAACAAGTAGCATTGTCTGTCGATTTTCCGCACGCACAGAGGACAGGTACTACGTGCTTCATGTGATTCATTCAGTTGTCATCCGTTCCGTTACAGGTAAGGTAGTCGTGAACGAAAATTCTCCAGCAACTTCATGCGCGGCATTGCGGATACGAGACGAATGAATGAAGCCAATTCAATGGCAAAAGCACCATGTCTAATCATCCAAACACAACCCACTCGGAGGACACATGAATGAAAAACATATTTCCCTGCAGAGGATGCTGCTCTAGACCAGACGCATACCTCATGTAAGGCTTGCGTGTCGATCAACAGTCACATCATCATCATCATCATCATCATCATCATCATCATCATCATCATCACACCGGCTACGATACCGACACAGTAAATCTCAAACCGTACACAACGTTACCCAGAAAAAAAGTGACCTCGCCTTCCATTTCCACTAACACGGGCACCCAAAAAGTAATCATGAAATAACTTGCTTGCTCTTCCACAACACGTTCAAGTCATCCGGAACCATAGCGGAACCATTCCCGTGGTCCTTGACCTAGCACGACTGCACGGTTTCGATCGCCCCCTCTTCCTCCCCCCATCTCCCTAGCCGCGGCCCCCTTCTTGTGGATTCACCGGCGCAACGGGCCAAGCTGTGATGCTACCCGTCGCGCCTTGCAATCCCACCCAATACAATTGTAACAGCAGCAAGGATAGTTGTAAAGCACAAACAACAGCAGTAGTCCAATCATCCCAACATGCAGGTGTCTTGATAGTCAATGCCACAGCCCAGCAGGAGCGCTTTCCAGATCCTCCCTGCCTAACGCACGTTATCGTCTATCCAGAGCTCATGTACGAAGGAGTAGTCTAGTCAAGCTTTTAAGCCCGATTCCTCTACAATTCGTTCGTGTGATAACGGCACCTCAGCTTCAATCTCCGTTCAGACTTTTCTGCCGGAAAAGGGTCTACACCCTGCAGAATTCGTCAAGTCTGGAACACGCACACCACATCACGTCACACAAAACCGACTTCCCCGGCACCCCGCAGCCAACCCTCACTCCCGCTTAACATGCAGCCAACAAAAACTCTGAAGCACCCCCCCCCGCGCGCGCGCATTTGGAGGTCTGCTTCGATCGGGCATGCGTGAACCTTGCTAGCGGGAAAACGGCAAATTTTCAAACGTACAGGACATTCTGACAAGAAACGAACAACACGAAAGGACGTCACCGCTGATGCTGCGGTTCAACAACTTGGAATGCGATCAGAGCTACTACGCTCTCCTATTCAGGTCTAAGGCACGCATAAATTCAGCCTCTCAAGCCACTATACAATCCTGCGGGGATGTCCACTGCCTTCTACTACAGCCCGACTTTTGGTATGGTACTGATGTTAAACGAAAACTCTCAAAATTGCAGTCTTGTGTTAAACCTCTCCTCTTTCTTACAATGAAAGCCCACCGCCTTTTCAAGGCTCCCTCGAAGCGATGGCATGAAAGCACAACTTATGCCGTATCTTTACACGTGTGTGGTTGTATCGTACCGACACCTCCTGCTTGGTTGACTGGCTTGTCAATTTGGGACCAACGTAGACATGACAGCACGTGGCGCCTCTATCTGCCAACAAACATTCCCGCTGCCGCGGCCGCTTCTGTTGCTTCTGCACGTTGGGGCAACACCACAAAAAAGCGAAGTGTCAAAAACGAAAATCATCCACGGTTTCTGCCTGCATATGTTGTTCGATTCGAGCCCAACGGCGATCTCTCTCAGGTAACGAAGAAAATGACACCATCGTCTCCCGCTGACTGCTGTGTCGTGATGAACGCTACTAGGTCATACCAGACCACCCCATCTACCCCTGCTGATCCAACCGGCTTGTCCGTGGCACGAAGAAAAAAGACACTATTTGGTCGAGCTGGTTGTGGCCGAACGACATCGTCCAGCCACCTTCAACAACACAAAAAATAAATCTCAAAACCCGATTAAAAAAATGTCCACGATTTTCCTCAACCGCCCAGCGGACCACGGGCCGCACCCACCCCCGACGAACAGACCGCACCAAAACTGGTTCGACCACTCAGCTGCGCTGCCGCATTACAGCTTCAGGTACTCCTCGTTGGAGTAGGTGAAGTCATCGAGGCCGCCCGGGAGCGAGGCCGGCAAGGCGGACGGGTCGATGAGCCCCGTAAGAGTCGCCTCCGCCTCCTTCTTCGACAGGAACGCTATCTTCTCCTTCGTGCGCTCTTCCAGCACGGTGGAGATGAGCTGGACGCGGCGGGCGGTGGGACACACGAGAGCGAGGAGGCGGCGGGCGTGAGAACGGCGTCGGGGAAACAAAAAACCTCAGGGATTGATTGGCCGCCTGCTAGGACACCCGACCGTGTACGACGTCATCGGTCGACCACGGAGTTTTCGTCATTGCTTCGAAACGTTCCTTAAAAATACATTGGCCCATCACAAAGCTGCGGGCACACCTTGTCTTCTGTCTCTTTGACACCGTTTTTTATGGCAGCACAATGTTGCAAGAAAAGCTGCAAACTTTTCCTGCAGCTTTTCTTCCAAACTTTGTCAATGGAACTTTTGATGCACGCTCTTTATGGGACGAAGAAAGTTGTGTGCACGGGACTGGCGGAATGCGGAGGCGTGATCTTTTTTTTTTTAGCAACGGAGAAGAAGGCACGCGCCTTTCACATTGCACCGCCAAAGAACCGGTCAAAGCGTGCGGGAGAGTGTAGTTGCAACCTTTTTTCTCCACACTCACGATACCCCAAGGCATCTAACCTGGTACCAGAAAGATGCTGGGTAGATCTAGCTCCCTCGGGGTGGCATTGCTGTTGCTGTTGCCTCCTCCTTCGAAAAGTTATCGCTGGAAAACCAAAAGATGCACACACAATCCCTGCGAACTTGAACCAACTGCTCTCTGACGTGGGTACTTTGGGGTCGATCAAAAAAAAATTCCCGATGCGCACGATACTCCCCGGCACCAAACCTTGGGCATGAAAGATGGAGCAAAGAGCTACCTCCCACCGAGCGACCTTGCTACTGCTGTTGCTTCCTCCTTCGGAAAGTTATCGGTGGATAACCAAACCCGTGGCGGTCAAAAAAATCGAGCTTGAACTAACCGCTCGCGGCCGTTGGCGGTTGTGCACAGCACAATCTTTTTTTCCCGGCGCATTCGGCGGCACCTCACGGCCCCAAACCTTGGCATTGCCCAACAGCCCATGGCATCACCTTCTTCCAGATACCATTCATGAGGCACCTCGTTAAGTATTCAACGAGATATGGGTGATCACAGCCTTTCCACAATCGATGCTGGAGAGGGTCTACGTGTGCGGTAGGGGTAGAAGCTTGACGTGAACCGGTATAGTTTCCGCCGTGCAGCTTTTCTCGCCCCTTCCCGACTAGAGAAAAGCCGCAAAACTTTTCAGCCAGATTGCAGCTTTTCGCTCCGGAAAAAAAGTTCCACAACTCTTCGTGCAACTTTTAGTTCCCATACTGAGTGTACATTAGCAAAGCTGCAAGAAAAGTTGCAGAAATGCAGCTTTTATTGCAGCATTGTGCTGCCATAAAAAGCGGTGTGAGAGCGCTGTCTGTCGCTTCACCTGGTCTTACGGTTTACAGCATTTACTCGCTGTCTGTGCTTTGCATGATGCAGCAAGCAATTCTGCGTAGTTCACCACCGTGGTTAAAACCCCATGTTGGAGCGGCGGTTCGACACCGTAAAAAAATCGACAAGCGCACCTTCCACACGAATGTGATGGGTCCCCCTGCGTTCACGATCACCACATATCCCAGACGCATCGGGTAGTGGCGCTGCATCGTGATGAACGCCGTCTTGAGCATGGGCAGGGGCGGCGTCTTGGAGGGCCCGAACCCGGAGCAGTCGGCCACCACGGCGAACTGCGTCTGCCCCTTGGGCAGCGAGCCTTTCGCCCTCTCCAACGTGTGAAACAGCAGGTTCAAACCCTGCGGCGGGTGTTGCGACATAACGGAGGAGAAAACAATGTATCGTCCCTCGCTGCGGTGTATCGATGCTGTTGCCAAAATGGTCTTGGTGCGAGAAATTTAGCACGCAATGCTGAGATGCAAAGACTACACGAATACACGCGGCCTCTGCCTAAGGAGCGCGAGCGTTTAGAATCTGCGATTTTCACCTCAAGAATGTCCCGTAGATTGTGACGTGTCAAAGTGGCCTGTCAGAGGTCACCTACCTTCGGGGGTGTTGCCGCAGACTAGAACCAGCGGACACGCTCAACCCGCGAGCCAGCTGCCCCCCCCCTCTCTCTCTCGCTATTCTTACATTCGTTCTCCCTCTCTCACGAAACCCCGTCATGTCTGCCAGCGTCGATGGTCATAAGACAAGCACAACACACTAGCATGCAAGATGATGCAGCAACAATGCTGCTTGGTGGCATTGAGTCTTCTACTTGCACCTCAGAAGCAGGACAATGTCGTCCAACTCCTGCGCGCCCCGTCACGGATGTTGGCCTACGAGCCCTAGCCTCCCCGAGTGCCAATTTTATGGGAATTGACGCCTATTTAGGTTTGCCTGGCGGCGGTTACCGAGGTGTTTCAGCTGCCTCGCGCTTCGTAAGGCATCTCAGGCAACCAAAACACCGTCTTAGGCAACCCCTCTCTGGAACGGGCGCCTCAGGCAACACCTCAGGCATGCCTGATCGGTCAGTCCTCTCTTCCTTTTATATACGCCTTCGCGAACGCCCGCTGCTGGCCCGAGACGTCCCTGAAGAACATCTTTGGGGAAGCAGGCTTGGCGGCCTTTAGGATCGCGGGTTGTTGGGCGGTAACAGCCCGGAGAATCTCGGTGTCCTCCAAGAGGACGATCTTGGTGGACGCCGAGAGTCTCCAGGCAGTCAACGCCAAACAAGTCCGCGATGCTACAGGCGGCAAAGCCTACCATCCCGAAGGTGTTCTTCAGGGGCGTCGCGGGCCTGCAGCGGGCGTTCGCCGAGGCGAGTCAACCAGGTGTGCGCTCCACGCCACACGTGCATCCCACAGAGGAAAATCGAGCCGCAGCGCGGACCTGGAGACCACCGCCGTCTCACAAAAAAAGGTGTTTTTTGGTACAAAACTTGCGCGTTCTCGTCGTCAGCCGGATACCAAGGTCGACGTAAATATCAAGACACAAAGCACGCATCCAGCGTGCTGTCACGCCCGCGGCAGGAGAGAGGCCATACTCTTGCGACGACAAAGGTCCCCGTCCAGTGACCGACTTAACGTCTCCGCAAACCACGCGAGGACACCGGCCGATCGATGCCCGACAAAACTAAACTGGTAGCGCATCATCGCCCGTAAAGTAAGATGTAGGAGGAATCACCTTTTCCGTGTCGAAGCTCTTCTCCAGACCGGGTCGATAGTGAATAATAGGCCGCTGTTGGCGGTCCAAGCCCCTGACGTACATCTTGCCGTACTTGGCCTCCTCGGCCACCTTGTATCCATGAAAACACATACGTGAAAAGAAGAAAAAAGAGCAAGAAATTAGTAACTGGGTAGATTATTAATGGTGGAGGAGCCGTTTTTCTGTCTCGGAGCCAACAGGCAGGGCGGGGGCACCGTTTGGGTTGCGAACAACCTTGCCTCCCGACCGCTGTTTTTTGTTATGAAGAGGTCCGAATTCCAAGCATTGAACACGCTTGCTTCCCCGTCCGTACTACATATGTGCCTCGCTGACGCAGATGGCCCCAAAAGTAGGCGAAGGTACGGCGTGCGACGGATCACTAAACACACACACACACACGACACCAGCTCGGCAGAGCCGGGTCGTTACCGCAATACAGAGCATTAAGAACCGCAGGAAAACAAGCCATCGCCGCACACGTTCCGCGCAAATACGCCTATTTAATATTAATAGCTCACGGCCGCCATCTCACGATCAATCCTGCGCGCAACATGCTGTGGCTGGCGGAGAGGGGCGAATACCATGAAAAGACAAACAACCGCACGTGGTTTGAAGGCCTCGGTGGGCAGAAAGTGGAATCAATGACCTGATTGATCAATCACCTGATTGTCCGTCAAGAGGTGCGGGGTTGCGTCCTCCCGCCAGCGCACCGTGCTAGCGACCGCGTCCGGCAGCGGCTGTCCCATCGACTCCATCGTCCAGTACGCCATCTCCAAATACCTGGTACGTATCGCGCCACGCCATAGACAGGAGGAGGACGGAGTCACAACTTTGCCAGTGGAAGACAACTATGAAAATTTTCTATCACCTTCGATGTGAGGGACACCGCGCGCGCCAGGCCAGCAGCAGTTCTTGCGTGTGGTGAGATACGTTTCAAAGACGCGTTTGCCACCAGCAGCTCAAAAACATCTCTATATACACTGAAGTTGAAGTTCAGTCGCTGTCGCCCGTTGGGAAAACGTCCGAAGGCCACTGATGATGTTCATGTTGTACAATCCCCACCAGTGCTCTCGCTACTCCGGAAAAATAATACTCGGCGCAAAGGGGGATCAAGATCTCGTATTATGCGACGCGCGTTGGATCCCTCTTGACAATATCTCTTTGCGGAACTTCTTGCATCGTATTTGGTAAAACCCTCTCATTAGTGATTACAGGACATGCACGCCCCTATCTCTTTCTTGGCCATGCACCCACCTCATCATTAGCTCGTCGTCAAGCTCGTGCCCTGCCGCTTTGGCGCGCCCCCAGAACTCAGAACCATACCGCTCCTCAACCTTCCGCCTTAACTCCTTCAGAAGGCCGGCTCTGCGAGCGTCCTCCTCCCCTTCCCTATCACCATTCCTTCCGCCCGCTCCCCGGCCGCCTCCTAGCCTCGCCACAACGCGCCCCCATAGCGCCTGCAGCGCCCGTCGCTTTCCTTTCGCAGTGCCCCCCTCGGGGGCCTTTTCTTGTCTGGCCGCCGCTTTTCTCCCCTTTGGCGGTTTTCGAGAGTGCACCTCCTTCGCGCCACCAGTATCGTCCTTCGCCCGCCGTTTCGCCGCCTCGGGACTTGGTACGAACACCCCCGGCGCCTGTTGGAGCAGTCTTCGCCCATCGCTTCGGTTATCGCTGCTGCTGCTGCTGCTGCTGCTGCTGCTGCTGCTGCTGCTGTTGCTCCGTTTTCTCTTCGTCCTGTCCTTGCTGCCGGCCTCGCTATCACGACCGTTGTTCTCCAGTTCCAGCTTGAGCTTTCGCCTCCTTCGCCAGTCGTCATGGCCCTCTCGTACCTTCCCGAGAATACCTTTTCGATGCCAGGGACGGATCCCGGCCTGCAAACAGGAATGCAACGACGAAGAGGGGGACAAATTCCCGTCCCCAATGCAGCCGTACGCTTAGGGAACACAACTTGAACACGAAAACTATCGAGATTTGTGTCGGTGTTGGAATTCTAATTCTCACCCGAAAGCTCTCGCATCCAACCTATATACAGCACCTCGATCAAACTTCCCCGCAGCAGAGAGGAGTGAGACGCTCACTGGAGAACGAGGTGGCGTACTGCTGTATCATCAAATGAGAAAACGGCTTCGTGTCACGAGGCAGGCACAATCATTTGCACGATATCGGGTGCTTGTGCCTCTTGAGTAGGCTACCTTGGCAAAGTAAAAGAAAACGCGGATAAAATCTAGCCATTACAATCGCAGTCTGCATATTTCGTGTGCACGCCAAGTTCGAGTTCGACTTCCCGATCGGCGAGGGACGGAACGGGCGAACTACTTCTACCATAGCAATCGAGGCAAGTGCATCCGAAGGAGGTGGAGGGGGATACAAAGAACCGTGAGCGTCGCCTTTCTCCTTTCTCCTATCTTGGTGGATTTCATTCATCCTGTGCGACTCCGGCTGGAGCACGGCCCAAAAAACAAAAGCATACCGAAAGGTGGACCAAAAATCCAAGTCCCCAAAAATTGGGTGTAGGATTATGACAAGCACGAAAATCATGTCCGCAGTGTTCGACAATGTCCCAGGGTCGATCTCCTTGTATGGGAGTGTCTAATTATTTTTTGTGCCTCCGTAAGCCTGACGTTGCACTGGTCAGCCGGTCAGCGCGGTGGATGCCAACCAATCAAGGCCGCGGTGGAGTTGGCAGGTCTCTTTTAAATAAAACCAGGAAACCCCTGCTTATCTTGGTTTTCCAGAGTCTACCTCCAGTACGAATCTACCATCGCACATCAACCGTCCTCAGATATGTCGAGTAGTGTGTACCATGATAAAAAGTACACAGCTCAAATCGTAGTCCTTGTGACACACTACCGTTTGCTGTCCGCGATATTCCAAAGGAGTATTTTTCCATCGAGACCGGTGAGCCACAAGCAGGATTCTTGAAACTGCTGTGCAGTCCGATTTTCGAACGCTTCAACCACCTTTGCGTATGGCTCGACCTGCAAATACATGACCCCCGGGCATTCAAATCGCCTAGGGCGACGAGTAAAATGTGCGAGGGAAGAGCTGCGCTGAAATTCACGGTCCAAAGCACTCGCGTGGGCGCTGATTCGCGGTCATTGTGCCCTTGAAGCGTTTGGAGAATCGCATCGCCCAGCAGCTTCAAAAAGCCTGCTTGTAGCTCACCGATCTCGACGCAACACGGATCCTTTGGAAAATCGCGGGCCGCAAATAGGTAGTGTATCGCAACGACGTTTATACAATCTGAGCTAACATTAACACTGTACACGAGCGACATCTGCCGATGGTTAAACGGACACAGGTACGTAGATTCGCACTAGACCCAGTCTAGCCTGCGGACCAAGGTCTGCAAGCGTTTCTTGTTTTTTCGAGAGGAGATCCGCCAACGCCACGGTGGCCTTGCAGCAGCAAAGCCCACTGTTGTACACGGAAAATTGATCATGATATGATGTGCCCTTCAAGAGCAGGGAGGAAGAGCTACACAGCGAAGATACAAGCAAGTATGTACGCTGGACAGAGTCAGCTACGAAATAATTCCCATCTCTATCCATATCCACAGACAAAACATACCGTAACACCTGCGGGTGAGCCACTCAAACTTTCAAGACACCCCTACTAGACAGTACTATCGTAAAGAGTCCCGGATAAAACAGAAATGAACCCTAGGGTGAGCAGACACGCAACACTATCCAGTTGGCTGTCTCACGATTACCATGTATTGTAAAATGTAAGTTACCTATACAGATGTTTTTGCACTTAGCACCAACTGGCATCACTGGTATAAATCATCAGTGTATAGACTTAAAAAGACTCGAAATAAGTCCAGTACCCAGCCGGTTTCCCTCCACTCACTGAAAAGACTCCACCACATCCCGTTCGACTGTGGGTATATCTCGAATGGGTACAAGTAGTCTTTCTGTGTGTGTTTTATAATTCCTTGATTCCCCCAGCAGCAACATCGATATCGTCCCCTGTGGGCAATAGGCTCAACAAGACCGTATTTTGGTGACCTTATGTTCTGACTACCGTACATCACAACAGTAAACGTTCTGCTGGGAAGGTGTAGAATAGCAATCGAAGATGTTGATTGTTGATGTGAACGAAGTCAACAACGACAACCGTACCAACACAGAAACACCGTAGGTGACAATCCGCGGCGTGAGGGATGTGCCTCACAGCGACTGGAAACACACGCAGGCATGCAGGGCTTGGACAGAGGAGGCGGCTTGATACAATGTAGCACGCATAAATCTCACACATCCAAGTACATACTTCGTATAGAAGGAGCTGACCTTACGATATCATCATCAACCACACGTCATATGGATAGGTGTGACAGGGTTGAAAGTGCTGCGCTGTTCGTGGACTACTGTCTGCTCAAAGAGTCACGATCCTGCAGCCTGCAGCATGCAACCTCGGGTCGTCACGTTCTACAGCGATACATGAGAGCACCTGCGACAAGGATCCCATACGTCAAACCGAAAAAAAGAAAGCAGCACACCGCCTCCAGCTTGCCACTACATAGGGGGGGGGTCTTCCTTGTTGGCTGTTGGGATACACCACACGGTACAGGGGCGGGGGGCTCACCTCAACTTCAAGGCTCGCATGCGGCTCCGCTTCCTCCCGCTTGTTGCCCCTCGGGCAGCTGGTGCTACCGCCATTCTCCTTTCGCAACCCCACCAAACAACCTCCACATCGACTGACGCTTGCCGCTGCAGCTATCGCACACACCAGCGCCAGTACGGCCATTCTTCGTCCTCCTGATGCGCACGGCCACCACCCAGGGCAAGGCGTGCTACTGCGTTGTTTGTCGTCGTCGACAGACGGCAGCTGGACCGCCGCTGCATGGCCCGAATCGTCGTCGAAGCTGCTGTCACTACTGCTGCTCCTGCTGATAGTGCTGGTGCTGCTACGATCATCCCCCTTGGCCGGATACATGGGATCGAAGGCCTTGGAAATCTCGGCCGTATAGTTCAACAAGGGCGACAAACGTGAAGGCTTCCTCCTAGTTAACGCCAAAACCGCGCGTGCAGGACTATGCAGCAGCGCGGAGGGAAGAATTTCTGGCCGCCTCAAGTTGCCCCGCATACAGGTGGGGTGGGTACGGGGCACCGTGGTTTCAGAAGGAAGGAAAGATCGCGCGAAACAAGCAAGCAGGCAGGATGGCGCGAAAGATCACAGCGCGTGCACGATTACACGGTCACACAAATCACCGTGTGCACATCTCTCGATGCCGTACTTTCATGAGTCACTGCCGACACGGGACTTATTTCAGATTGCGAGTCGTGGGCGCAGAAAATGTCTCGACGAGGAAGGTCAGGGCGGTTTGGATTTTGCTACATGGGGCGCTTGCTGGCTGCCCTGCTGTTGGATCGCACCACAACGGCCTCTTTTGTGAGTGCCGAAGATCTTCTCTTCGAGGCGAGTATGGACCAGAGGACAAAGGCCGCGCTGCAGCTGTTCGAGAGGTCAGACCCAGCTGAGGGAGAAGCAGAGCTAAGGGACATGGCCGAGAAGCATCCTTCGTACGCCCCGCCCTTTTTCTACCTTGGGCTTCTCTCACAGAGGAGACACGATCAAGAGATGGCTGTGTCATTGTACGCTGCAGCACTGCGCGCAGGTGCAACAGTAGCGCTACTAGATGGGGGCTGTATCATCTGCATTCTTGGGTGACAACACACCCACGAGCTGCTGTCTAGGTCGTTGTGCAATAAGCCCAGGGTATCACCGATTTCGCCGAAGGTTCATAGAGTATCTACATTCGCAGGCGACACAAGATACAACACTGCCTGGAGCCGGGTTCCATAGCTCGATTTCTCCGCAACAGAGAATAACTGACAGTACCGAAAATGGCGGCGTTGAGAACGTCTCGGTCGAGAGCTTTCCGAAAACGTATTGTTTCTTTCATGCATCCTCTTCCACATGGAGTGAAATCGAGCTTTGAAGTTCGTCCCGGGGGTGTGTTGTCTTGTGTCACCTACACGGTACACACTGCAGTTCTAAGTAGATATAACGTCAAGAGATCGGCAAGAAAGTAGGGCTACAAGAAACAATGCTAGCTCAATCTTGACCACAGCCTAAGACACGTTCCAATAAAAAACAGGTAGCTAGGGGAGAAGTGTGTCGAATAAGAAACATTCACTTCCTCTTCCTGTGTTACCTACCCCACCTTCTTCAGTCCATCCATTCGAATAATACTGCCTCACACAGCAAAGTCTACAGTTTGCAAGTCTACGTGTAGTCTGCAGAACGGGCCCGCAGTTTAAGGAATTAAAAAACGTCAAATTCGGGTCGAGACTCAATTCCTTGTTTTGGGTCGAAGGACCAGCCGAATTCGTTCATTTTCTACACAAGTTTGTATTTCATTAATAACGCGATCTTTACGCGACAGGTTGGTGTGGCGAACATTGGGGGCTGTCGCCCTCCAGGACATACTGACTCGACCTCATCTTGGTCCATCTCTAGCAGCACGCGCGCCCCAACGGCCGTGACAAATTTATCCGTTTTAACGACTCCAACGGCAATTGGAACAGATGCAACACACGCCGATGCGACCAACAACATCGGGGCGGCACTAACGGCCCTTCCACGATCCGACCGTAAAAGAGTGGCTGAAGCTTCGGGCTTCTTGCCACCAGTCGCAGAAGAAGAACACGGCAGAGCCCAGGAGTGGGAAGGCGGTACCCGTGGGCCGGTCAAGAGCGAAACCGAAACTTATGGGGTTGACCAGGTGATCGAGAGCTTTTTTCGCAGGGCCCTTGACTTGGACGCCAAGCATCGATGGGCGCTGAACAACCTTGGCCTTCACCTGCATGCCGGTAGCCGAGACGACGAGGTGAGAAGTCGAGGAACAGCAGTTGTCGATCGTCCTCGCAACCAGCTGTCGGGCCGCTTTGTGTAGGGGTTTTTGGACATTCTACATAGATCCAGTTATGATCCGGTCATGACTTACTTGCCTTCCGTGGTTATGCAAAAACACAACGGGGTGTCCCGTAACCACGGCACGCCGCGGAAGGGAGACTAGCTGCCTGAATGCCTACCTAACCTTCGGGCTACGTGTCGAGGCAAATAGTCGAGATTCCTTGTTCGGAAGTAGGAAGCGGAGGGGGTTTCACTGACATGCTGAGCGCCACATCCTTTTCCTTCCGCAAATGGGCTGGGTCTAGGCTGTAGCAGTATTCACGAAAGCGCTTGGACTATACCCGGGAGACGCGGAGATCAGCTACAACTTGGGGGTATCCCTGCAAGCGCTCGGAAGGGCTCAAGCAGCTGCCCAACGTTTTGCGGCTGTCATAGAAACCGATCCTCAGGTGAGTGTCAATTCGTACTACTGGTTATCATGTTTTCTTCTCGGGGGTCGATACGGTCTCTAGAGGTTTCACCAATCAATCTGAAACAGGGTAGGCACCCACTTCGAGGCCCGACACCAATTTTCCAGAGGATTGGCAAAAGCTGCTGTGCTTCCGCAAGGGTGCCAATCCTCAAGGGAGACTTTTCGTGTTTGTATGATGTACGAGTTAGTTGAAGTGTCGTGACGATACGTGGGGCATTAGGTAGGATGAAGAAATATGGTACATGAAAGAAGGGACAGCCAGCCGTCGTGACATGGTCAGTCATTGCTCACCGGAAGAGAGAGCACAAACGAGAGAAAGGTTATCACGCAACCCGTGACGCTTATGGCACGACAACAGTCAACGGGCGACGGTGCATCTCTTCGAGGAGTAGCACGGTTAGTTGAGGATTGCTGCCGAAATAAACGCTTCATAAAGTACCCAACGTGAAGAGCCTGCATAACGGACACGCGAATTCAAAGCCGAATTCATGCCGAAAAATTACCTGAAAATGTTGCCCAATTCGTGACCTACCTGTGGAGATTGTTGGCGTTGTTCTAAGACAAACGCCCAAGAGATGTATCCCTCCGATTCCTCACTTTCATTGTTTTCTCTCAACCCCATACTGTGCTGAGACTTAACAAGAAAAAGTCTGAAATAAGTAGTACCGAACCACCCACAAAATACATAACGAAGAAAGGAATAACACATGGCACGTAGCAATATTTGTTGATTGTTGTGTTCCATACCCTGCGTAGCATAGGATTGCATAAGCGACCGCATGTAGTCATCAGTTGATCTTTGTGCGTCTCCTCTTTGTCTTACAGATGGGCTGTCAGGTTCGGTTTGCACGACGTGATGCCTCGCAGCTCTTTTTGATGGGCTTGCCAGAGATGACGGGGCATCGCCTCTGTGCCTTCCAGATGGATTGTTCGGTTCGTCTTGTGTTCGTTTGGGTTGGCGGGATCCTCGCAGATTTTCGGGACGGGCTTGCTAGAGATGACGTGGTGTCTTCGGCTAGTGATGGCGGTGCGACGCACAGGGAAGTTTTGTAAGTACAACCACCGTGAGCAGTGATGTTGGATACCAAGAGGGATCGAATTCAGCTGACGAAGAAGTAGTGCCGCTATCCATGTAGTCGTATTTTATCGAACGCCCCCGTTAACTTGACTTGCGAAGCGAACAATAGTTGCTCTGAAACGATCGCCCAACGGCGACATGATATGACACACCGACGGGAGAATAATGCGTTCCTCAATCGAGAGATACCGACAGCGTCGGCGGTACGGCGAGGTCTCCTAAGAAAACTCAGGCAGACCAGAAGAAAGGACTGTCCGGGGCGTTTGTTTGGGTTGTTCGGCAGCAATGCCCATTCGCACATCGTAACGTCAAGCTCATCCGCACAGTGCGGGCAGAGAGTTTTACCGGGATGGAAGCGTCCGAAGATTGTCCTGATGCGAAGAAATCTGCAGCCTTTCCGCCGATGGACGCGGCGTGGCCGTCTGGGATCGTGGTCACCGTGGCATTCCTGAGGTCGGCGATCTGGTCTGGAGTCCTGTGCCTTTGGTTGTGATCGTTCGCGTGGCAGTTGAACTCGTACTCACAGCGGGGTACCCGGTAAACTGCCACATGAACGACCATAATCAAAAGCACGCGACTCGCGACCAAACCGCCAACCTCAGGGATGCCATGGTGATCACGATCCCAGACTGCCACGCCGCGTCCATCGCCGGAAAGATTACAGAGTTCTTTGTGTCAGGACAATCTTCGGACGTTTCCATCCCTGTCAAAGCTCTCTGCCCGCACTATGCAAATGAGCTGACATTGCGACGTGCGAATGGACCTTGCTGCCGTACAACCCAGGCGAACGCCCCGGACAGACTTTTCTTACGGTCTGCCGGAGGTTTCCGAGGAGACGTCGGCCTACCGCCGACGCTATCACAATCTCTCAATTTCGGAACACAATGTTTCCCCGTCGGTATGTCATATCATGTCGCCGTTGGGCCATGGGTACAGAGCAACCACTTCGCTTCGCAAGTTAAGCTAGAGGGCGTTGGATAAAATACGACTGCATCGACGGCGGCGGCACTTGTTCATCAGCTAAATTCGACCCCTCTTGATAACCAATCGCTGTACATTGGTGGTGTACTTACAGACCGCCCCTGCCCCTGTACGATGCGTCGCCATCACTAGCCGAAGAAACCACGTCATCTTCAGCAAGCCTGTCCGGAAGATCTGCGAGGAACGCCGAATGCCACACGGACTAGCACACAAGGAGCCGAACAGTCCACCGGGAAGGCAGAGACGCGATGCCCCGTCATCTCCAACAAGCCCATCAAGAAGAACTACGAGGCATCACTTTGTGCAAGGCGAACCTGACAGCCCATCTTGAAGACAAAGAGGCGACAGAACAATATCAACTTATGACTATATGCGGTCACTTATGTAGCCCATGAACACAACAATCAATAAATGTTGCTACGTGTTGTTCCTTTCTTCGTTATGTATTTCGTGGGTGGTTTCGGTACTACCATTAATAAAGTTTTTTGGTTATGCCCTGGCATAGTTTATGGGGTTGAGAGATATCCGCGAAGGGTGAGGAGTCGGAGGGATTGACATCTTGTTTCCTCGTGTTAAAAATATGTTGACAATCTCCACAGGTCACGGAATTTGTGCCACGATTTTCAGGTGTTCCTTCGGCATGAAATCGGCATTTTTGTCCAGTGTCCGTTTTGCGGGCGCTACACGTTGGGCACTCAGTCGTGTGTTTAAACAGTTGCTGGTGGGGGGGCACCGCAGTCCCTCCTAAACGCTTGTCCCGAAGTAGTGGAGTGTTTTTCTCTCACAGCGACCTTACCAGACTTGGTCTACGTCCTGTGACAATATGTTGTTGAAGAGTCCGGTAGTTGGGGACTTCATGAAGCCTTATCCCGGCAGCAAGCCTCACACCTAACCGTGCTAAACCTCTAAGAAACGTAACTGTCGTCCGTCGACTGTTGTCGTGCCGCAAGCATCGTGGCTTGCGTGACAATATTTCTCTCGTTTGCTCTCTCTCTCCTGGTAAGCGGTCACTGACCACCGTCACGACGGCTGGCTGTCCCTTCTTTCTTCATCCGGCCTAACATTCCACTCTGCGTCGAAACACTTCGCACTATTCGCATATAAAACAAACACGGAAATCAGAGGAATAGCACGATTGCTGAAGCAAGATGCTTTGCGGATCCTCTAAAAACGGCCTTTTTGGTGGCAGAATCTTCGCTGTACTCAGCAAGCTCAACGCCCTGATGCATGAACGTTGGATCCAAGGAGTTCGATGTATTTGCAACCGCTGCCCACGGGCAATTTTCCATATATCGGTGTGTGTCTGCTTAAAAAATAGATCTGCGCCTTGATTGTCGGAGCTTGTCATCAATAACGTATGTGTCTGTTGTGCTCAATACTGTGCACTGGGTCCAAATGTACACCAGTCGCTGCGCCAATCCGCCGTTGACTTCCTCAGCATGTTGGCGCAGCCATGAACTTAGCAGCTCTCTTCCACCGTTATGGAGACATTGGCAGCGCCATCGAGCACTACAGGAGGGCAGCCGAGATAATCGACCCAAGCGACGTCGATATGATGGTCATGTTGAGGTAAACAGTATCGAGTTGTGTATCCCGTTGAGACGCGCGTCTTTTCGGGGCAAGCTGGTTGCTAGGAGACCGCCGCAAGCTGGTTGCTAGGAGACCGCCGCAAGCTGGTTGATAGGAGACCGCCGCAAACAGCGCCGAGCGGTGGTTGTCTCTCTCGTAGTACGGAGCGTTGTTAGGAAGCTACTCCAGGACCTGCGAAGCTCCCCGTCGGAAATCCTTGGGTCAGCAGCGGCAGAAACCTGAGAAGCAGGACGAATCGCGACCCCCTTCCTCCGCAGATCCATCCGAGTACGGAGGTCCGAGCATCATCCGAATACACCCTTCCCAAACGAAAACGTCTACACGACGCCTGTCGGTCTCCCTCTCTGTTTGGCTATCTCTCGCGCACACACCAGAAACAACTTCGGGACAGCTTTGTTTCAGCTAGGCGAACACACCCTCGCGAAGTTGGAGCACCAGGCAGTCCTGGAGTTGCTGAAAGCCAGCGACGAGAGCATGCCTCAACAACGCGCCGAGAGCGGCGAAAACGATGTCTACGTGGACACTCTCGTTAATTTGCACAGGCGAGGAAGCATGAAAAGAGTCATGTAAAGCTTTGTTCTAAATAAAACATTTACATTATTTCGGTGCGAAACGCATGAACAACCTTAATTGCAGAATCACCTCAACGCGACATGAAAGTGACACCAAAAAAACAAGAGAAACGACGTGCACCTTCCTAGTCAACGGCCTGGACAGTTCGTGGAAAGAGCACAGACATCAAGCACCTCGCTGTCAGTGGTTGAAACTGGACTGCTATCCCTACTCTTTCTTCTCGTGTTGGTGACGCGCAGGGCGCGGAAGGCGTCGTGCGACTGGCGCGACTGGGAGAGAGATGTTTTCGACCTCAAGTATCAGGTGCGATACTGCTGTCTGCCGCAAGCCGAACCTTGAGGTCTTCGTTAGGTCATTGGCAGTAGGCCAGACGAGACTGCCGGCACCATTGGTAATGAAATGTGCAAGAAGAGAGCAGCTACCAGTGGAGAAAAGTGCAACACGTGTAATCTCCAATTCTAGCTAGGCCTTAGTTCCGCGTGTGTCTGCGGGCACGTGAAGCACCCCACACCTGCTCTGCACCATCACGCAACCTACACCTTCCTCTCCCGAAACCCTCCCCCTCGTCGGATACGCTGGCGTCCACGAAAGAACAGGTGGACGTGAAGCAACTAGCGTTCGGACGCCCGCCATCCCTCCTCCCGTTCGACACTCTTCTCCTGCCCCATCCCGTGACCCCGGCCTGGCGCCGCCGGCTTGCCGAGGCCCACTCGGCGAGATACGTTGAGGCTTCGACCGCGCTGGTCGGATCGCGATCGCACGAAGCCTTCCTCGGCGAAAACCGCACGAGAGACGCAGCACGTCCAGAGGGATCAGATCGTCGGACGGACATGCAAGAGGGAATAGGCGTTGAATACGATGGTAGGGGCGAAGTGACAGGGACTACGGCCGGTGCACGTATACATGGTACGACTCGTACTGATGAAGGCCGCGCGCGTCTGAAGATAGGATTTATCGGGCATGACTTCGACGAGCATCCTACCGCGCACATGATCGAGGGCGTGTTTGTCTGGCAGAAGAGGTTGTCGGGGACCAGGCAGCATGGAACTGGGGCCGCAGATCATCTCACGTCCGGGGCACCGCAGAAGAACGATTGGACGGCGTCTATGGTAGAAACAAATTGTTGCAGGTGAGATGGCGTCGTTGTCGCGCTGGCTTGGACAGGACCTCATCTGGCGGGTGATGTATCATCAATCACAAACTCTGGACAAAGAAACTGTGCGCACTCAAGTAGTTTTACGTTACGCCTTACCCTTTTCGACATGCCCCCCCCCCACCCCCGTCTCTGGGACCAAGATACTCGGTTTACAGCTATGGCGGGGGGGGGCAAAATGCCAAGAGGACCAGCCGAGGCGATGGTGGGAACTCCACGTTCTCGCGGGCGCGGGAATCCATCCGTTCGTGTGCCTCCTCTTTTGTAGACCTCTACGCGGACGGCCACAGGGAGAGCGTCGAGCGGATCCGAGCGGACGGCGTCGATATCCTCGTGGACTTGCAGGGGCACACCTTGGGAGGCAGGGGTCAAATCACGGCCGCTCGACCGGCATTGGTTCAGGTAGGGCATGCGGTGGCTGTGACGCGGAGATAGCAGAAGGAGCACACTACTCCGCCATAGCCAGGTGTTGGCAGAGACAATATGGTGGTACTCCGAGGTTCAATCATTGTTGTAGGTTTTCAGCGTCGGTTCATCGCGTCACCAACCTCGTTGTCACGACTTAACAGGTGAACTACTTGGTGTTCCCCGGAACCAGCGGAGCTCCGTACATCGACTATCTTCTCGGGGATCGACACGTGAGTGGCAGTTTGACGGGAAGCGCTGTGCAGGGCCTAGTACGGGTTTCAATATTAAGGTACTCCATGAGAGCAACAGCGGCTTGAGTGTGCCCAACCAGATCGCACCGCCGTTTGGCACAGACGAGGATTTAAGTTAGGACAACATAGGAAGATCACATCCTGGTATATAGACATGTTTTGAGGGGCACGCACAAACGGGGTAACATCCCTGGCGCGCAGTCCATTGCATGTAGTCATCATGGCGTAAAAATTGACCCGCTTGTTGGCTGCGGCCGGGGTCAATCTCACAGACTGCTCCCCACACCCCGCAGGTCACGCCACCGGAGCATGCCCGAGACTTTTCTGAAAGTTTGGTCCTTCTCCCAAGAACGTACCAAGCAAACCTGTACGAAGGCCTCGCGCCAACTAGCTCGAGTTCAGGCCGAAAACACGACAGGGCTGTGCTTCGGTGAGGAAAGGGGGAAATGAACTGATGTGGATGGGGAGATGATGGAGGACGCGACGGGCCAGCCACCATGTCCTGGTTTTCTATCGGCCGTGCTTGGCGCAGTCACGCATTCAGAAAACATCGTAGGCCGAGCCCAGCACGACTGATCGGACTAATGCCAGGGATTCCAAGGATTTGTCATCGTTTCGTTCATCACCGCCGAGGAATACTGACCAGCTGGTCGTGCCCCATTGACGAGAAACGTATTCTATGAAGCCTAAAAAATATGAACTTTGACCAATCTCGTCCATAGCCAATAATCTACGAGCACGCACAGGGCAGCCCGACACCATCCGCTTGGTTTCTCAACATCCTCTCTCAGTAGCGGCCGTCGCTAACTCTTGTTCCGCGCGCGACAAACAGGCGCGGGCAAGGTCTACCGGGTGACCTCTCCAGAGCGGTGTTCGCGAATTTCAACAAGGTGGACAAGCTGGATCCGGAATCGTTCTCTCTGTGGATGCAGATCCTGAGAAGGGTGCCGGGTAGTGTGCTTTGGCTGCTGGAAGCCAGTGCGGTGGACTCGGAGGTAGGGAAAAGACCTTGCCGTTGTGTCTTGTGTTGGGAGCTACCAAGCTAGGTAGACCGGAGGGGCGAGGGACCCAGCTTGTTCAGCGGGTTGCTTTTGTTTGCTGATTTTGCATTGGACGTTTAGGCAGAGGGATCTTTCCCGGGAATGGTCGAGCAAGTGAATATGTCGTGGACGGTATGTTCGGGTGAAATCTTGACCCGCAGTGGTTTGTTGATCTTGAACGGTACATAGCCATTAAAGATGAAGTGTGTGCACGCCCTGTTATGTCGGTCGCGAGTGCTACGGGACAAGTCTTACTACTCTACACCCCATCGATCGTGAAGAACTGCCAGCTGGTAGATGTCGCACACTGCCCCGCTCATCAGTACGAAGAAAAGACGAAAGAAAACTCACGACCGTCATCACCCTTCCCTACTCTTCGTCTAACCACAACTTGTGCGCAAATCGCAATGTTTTCATGGCCGATAAACAGAGAGCAGCCATACGCACCCGTCTACGGCAAGAAGCGGAGAGTCAAGGTGTTGACGGAGGCCGCATAGTGTGGGCCAAATGGGTGTCAAAATCAGAGCATCTATCGCGGCATGCCTTGGCCGACCTGTTTCTGGACACCTTGACGTACGGCGCACACTCGACGGCAACGGACGCTCTGGCAGGGGGGCTGCCACTTTTAACCCTTGCTGGTGCGATACCGTTGTTGTGGTATGATTGCTTTGTGGTAGGCGGGAGTACTGGTGTGTACTAGTTGTGCCTCGAGTGGAAGTATATGGCATTCGCTTTCCTTCCCCCTCCCCCCGCGCCGTTTGACGTCACAATAAATCTGAACGAATACATGCATCATTTATTTCGATGTCTTCGTCCCGCCATTTAGGGGCATCCTTCGCATCCAGAGTAGGGATCTCCCTGCTGCGCAACGCTGGCCCCTCGCAAAGCGCCCTGCTGGTGGCCGGTCAGCGAGAGTTCGAGGATTTGGCCGTCGATCTTGTCTGTACTACACGCGGCCGGAAAGTTCTTCATAGTTTACGAGCATCACTTAGTTGGCGGTACAAGACAGATTTTCGTCGCTCCCGGCTCGGTGAAACGGAAAAGGGGGCAGGGGGAGACAAAGAAAGGGCAGGAGCTGGAGGAGCAGAGCCTCCGCTTCCGATTTTCGACACAGAAGCTATCACCAAGGACTTGAATCGGGCGTTCATGCTCATGTCCGATACGCACGACGTATGGAAGGTTCGCGGGCGACGAGAGAGGTGGCCGGGAGGCACACGTTTGCCTCATATCGTTTTGACTGGGAAAAGCCTCAATGGTGGTGGCAGGCATTCAGAGTTTTAGAGGGGGCTCCAAATGAAAGAGACGCTTTGTAGATAGCCTTGAGTGAATCGTAGTTCCCCGGCCCCACTACTGCAGCGTTGTCTCTATTGTCCCATTGATGATGACCACATACGACCCTCACGATAAGTATAATAGTCTATGCGTTTTTTACACGTACGTGTGGTGCCGGCGATTGCCCTATTTCTTGGTCTTACTTCAAATTATAAGTCTATTGTACACAATCCGAGTTTCTTGTGAGGAGGGTGTTTCTTATGAGCGGATCGGCATTGTGTACTGTAGACTGCTGTGTACAGAGTTACACGATGAAACGCAGGGTAGAATGTGTGTGCGCGGAAGTCCAGGCGGTCGGATCTCAACTCAAGTAACCTCAGTTCGGAAAAGATCATCATGAATCGTACTCGTCGTCTACGGTATATAACAAGTTGTGTACCAAGTGTCGCCCCACTACTTGTTATCGTCGTACGTTTCTACTGCGCGTGACGAAAAATGAAAGCCTGTGTGTACGTCCCCTTGGTAGAGCCTGGCGAAGAACATGCGAAAGGTGCAGGAGGACCCGCACACAGGAGGATCCTACCATAGCTGGGGGAGAATATTTTTTTGTCATTGATTCACGGAGCCCCTGGCTCTGCACCGAGTGCTTGTGCTGGTGAACAGGCACTGAGCACTACACTGTAGTGCCAGATGGAGGCCTCGCTGGCCTAGGAGGATACTTGCTAGGTCTGGGAGCTAGGAGAGAGGAAGTTGTCTACACTTCGTGTGTCCATCGCGCGCGCCACCGAGGCCAAAAGGCATACCCAATGGGTTACGGCAGCGTGATCGCGGCGGTACTCCTGTGTTGCGGGTTGGTGCCGGTCCATCGCGCAGCAGCGTTCATGTTGCCAAGCGGTGGCGCGCGTCTTGTCCAGAGCTACGGCAGGAGAAGCAGCGGTAGCAGAAGCTCAGCAACCCGCCACGTACTCGGAACCTACGCCGGCACGCGAACTTCTTTGAAGCCCTTCCGAACTGCAAAAGCAGCGGCGGGTTGCACGTGGGAGATGGGGCAACCCTCCTCAGTAGGACCGTTGTCGGCTGTGTCGGAGAGGAACGGCAACAACAACGGAGAAGCACCATCAGATAGCGGCAGTAGCAGTAGCAGCAGCGGCAAATCGCAGCCGAAACCGGTCGTTTATGCCCAAGAGGTACTCGACAGGGCGTGGCGGTCGAAGAGGAGAATAGCGGCCCAGGCGAAGGCTAAGCCGCTGAGGCAGAGGTTCATGAACGCCTTCGGCGGCAGGTCGGCCGTCTTCGTGGATGACCGAGAGTTCATGGAAGAGACCCTAGACAACGTGCTGAGGGTGAGAGGAGAGGGACCGGTGTCCGAAGTATGAGAACAGCAGTCATTATTCAAAAGCGGGCAGCGATGTCGTACTATGTGCAGTTACAAGGAACCTGCTATTTGTTACATGGTTGTCAGCTTATTCTCGTTTCGACATACGCAGCCGTAGGTGCGGCATGTTAGCCCAGTTTACATCCTCGAAGTACTCTACAAGTGATCCGCAGTGGTCTGATGAGCCAACAACAGCAGTGTCGTGTCATCTATTGTAGGGTTACAGAAGCAAGATGAAAAATAAAAGCAGGCAGCAGGACTAGCCTAGAGCTGCCTGCCATCTGCCAGTTGTGACGTGTCGAAAGCTCGCACAGCTCGCACGTGTCGAAAGCTCGAACAGCTCACACGGCTGGCGTGTTTTGACTCGAAGCGTCCAGCGAAACTCAAACGAACCATAAAGAAAAACTTTCAAATCTGTGTAATACAAGTGTTACTACTCCGTATTAATAGTACACCCCAAACGCATATAGTTGGAAGGCCATTTAGCGGTGAATGCATGTTTACACTGCCCTACTTTTTGAGGAAGGAACTGACTTCTGTCGGACAGAGAAAGGCGCAGTCAAGAGTCGATACACTGCGGCTTGAGTCAGCTTGGGTAGTGGATAAAGCGAGAATGGGGGTCACCTGCGGCGGGTACCTGCTGCATTGGCGGTTTCTCCAGCTGGTTGTGTCTAGTTTTCTGTTTCTTTGTAGACCTCTTCTGTTCTGCCTTGCTCCATACGCAGGTCGGAAGGCGCTCCCCACCCTTGTGGCGACGGGTATTCGACCACGGGAAGGCTTGGCAGCTGCTGTCGGAGCCACACTCGAGATTCGTGTTCGCCTCCACGTGTTATCTACGACACAACTTGCTTCCAGTCGGGGGTTGTGCGATGCATCTATTGCACGCCAACATCCTACGTCGTGGTTGATGTCGAACCCCTCGCCATTTTGTCGCCCTTCCTCACCCCCGCGCCTTTTCCTCCGCGCGCCTACTCCTCTGTTTGTCTCACCATCTATCGCCTTGGCGCCGCAGATCTACTGCACGCACAACATGCCCAACTGGTCCCTCCCGTGGCAGAGGCTGAAGCAGGAGCAGTCCACCAGCACGGGGTTTGTCATCGATGGGCGACGCATCATTACCAACGCCCACGCCGTGGAGTACTCGACAATGATACAGGCAAGCACGTGGTATTGGTGGACACGTGCCATGTGTCCACGGTCGCCAACAACGTGTCCTAAATGGGTGTTTCGTGTGACACTGCTCTGTGAACGTGTCTACTGTTGTTATTGTGTCTGCTTCTCGAGGCGGTGGACGACGCTACAGTACATACTCGTAGGTGGCATGACACAAGATACCACACGCCCTCGACCGATTGTCGAAGCTCGATTGCTCCACAGCAGAAAGAGCAGCGGCACCGAAAATGCCGTGTCTTTCCCGACGCTCTACTGCTGTCTTGTTCTCAACGCACCGCTGTACCGCTGCTTGTTCGCTTCGTTGTCGGTCGACCGAGTGAAGGTCCGGAGGAGAGGCTGCGACCGAAAGTTTCAGGCGAGCCGCTATGCCGTGGGCGAGGAGTGCGACCTCGCTATCCTTACGGTAGAGGACGAGGAGTTCTGGGAGGGGGCGGCACCCCTGGCCTTCGGCGAGCTGCCGGAGCTGACGGACGACGTCAGTGTGATAGGGTGGGTTCGTGCGTTGTCTTTTGTTTTCGAGCCGTTCTTCTAATGTATCGGCGACGCGAACGTGTTGCCCCCCCCAGCTCCGCCATCACCAACACTAAGAAAACGTGAGATGCCTCACCTACATACCATTTGGGCGTTTGTGTGTCCATCCTCCACCGTCCCCTCTTGCCCTTTGTATTTTGACACTTACTGCCCCCGCCCCCTGCCACGGGTGATAATGGCGAAAAAACAAAAACACCAATAACGACAACGACGACAGCTATCCGGTTGGAGGAGAGTGCATCTCCATCACAGCTGGGGTGGTGAGCCGTGTGGAGATGACGGTCTACGCCCAGGCGGAGAAGGAGCTGTTGTCGATCCAGATCGACGCAGCGATTAACCCAGGGAACAGCGGGGGGCCCGTGGTGAACGACGACGGAGAGGTGGTGGGGGTGGCGTTTCAGAGCCTGGACGGCAGCGACGTTGAGAACATCGGGTGAGTGCGATTTCTTAATTAGCATCGACCGCGCGAACCGGCAGACCAATGAAAAAATGCTGGTCTTGTAGCCGGAGAAACGCGAACACTGCAGCATGTCTGTTTGTTTTTTTTGCTGTTCCATGTGCTGCGTCGACGTGGTTTGTGTTCAGCTTAATCTTGGCCGTTGCGTTTCGTTTTTGTTTTTGTCTGGCTTAGCGTTGCCTGCGGGCGGGGTTGTGCGTTTGTTTTCGGCTCCAGCGAGGATTTGTCGTTGTTGCCGCTCGCTACTGCTGATGTTGTGGTCGTGTACTGTACGCATTTTCCCTGTCGCAAAGGGGAAATTGGTGTCGCGGTCTGGAGAAACGCGACAGATTGTGCGTAGCGTGTGACTACTGTACTTGGACCAAATGTAGTGCATGCCGGTGCCACTTGCTCCCTAACGCTGCTCCGCCGCCGCCGCCGCCGCCGCCGCTGGCTTTCTCGCTGCCCGGCAGGTACGTGGTTCCGGTCAACGTCCTGGAGCATTTTCTTGAGGACGTCCGCCGTCACGACGGCAAGTACCTCGGCTTCCCGCGCCTGGGCATCACTCACCAGCACCTAGAGAGCCCGGCCCTTAGGGGAAGCCTGAGGATGTCTCCACAGCAGACGGGTGTCATGATCACAGGCGTGCAGGTGAGGAAATGAGTCACACAGCGTGGGTGCAGCGGTCACACGCACGTATTCCTACATACATACCTCGCGTTTTTTGCTCGTGTCCACGCCCGGAGTGTCGTTTTTCGTCAGGCCGCGGGTGTGTGTGTGTGTGACGAACCGTGAGCCCGCGTGGCTGAATTGTAGGCCCTCGCTTTACCCCGGAACAACGCGTTTACTGTTGGACATGACGGGTTCTACGACGACTCGTCGGTGACCGTATACGTGCAAAATGTTTTGCTTTCAGAATTAGGTCGAAGCTTACGGTGCTTTGTACCCCCCCCTACCCACCCCCCATGTTGCAGCCCACATGTCCGGCGGTGAATGTTCTTCGCAAGGGTGACGTGATCATGAAAGTGGACGGTATCAGGGTCGCGAACGACGGGAGCATCCCCTTCCGCGCCGGGGAGAGGGTGGCGTTGAAGTACTACATGTCTCAGCTGTTCCCTGAAGACAAGGTGGGCAACAGCTGCTGGAGCTCTTGCGAAAGACTGGGGAATACTGCTGCTGCTGCAGCGCAGTTAGGAGATGGAAGTATGTCGGCATCGCAGGGCATACGTGGTGCACCCTGTCTAGGGGAGGGCGTTTATTGTTTCGTTTGATTCCCCCGCGTTCGAAAGACTTGAGATTAATCGATCGCTACCCGCCCCGTCCCCGCCCCGTCACGACCGTCACCACCCGTCCGTTTCTCACGGTGGTCGACATGAACTCATCTGCTGTCTGGATGGAGCAGACAGAGGTGGAGCTGTTGAGAGACGACAGCGTGATGTCTGTGACGGTCCCGCTGTACGTGTCGGACTTCTTGTGCCCCGTGCACTTCGGCGGGCGGGCGCCGAGCTACTTCGTCCTCGGGGGGCTGGTATTCACCGTCATGAGCGCGCCGTACCTCGAGGTAAGACCGGCGTTTTGCTTTCTCCCGTTTTTCGTGTTGCGTCCAGAGAGGAGCTTGTGTTCTTCTACAGCGATGGTCGCTCGTTTTGCGGTGCAGCCAATCAGGCTGCTTTTGGCGGTAAACGGGTCTCGATTCGTCTCGAGTTTGTGTATGTTGCTTGGTTTGATGGCCTTTGTTTTGGGTGACATGTGATCGTCGTGCCTCTCTTACATACTTGCTGCTTGTTTGTCTTCCCCCTTTGTCTTGGAACCTTCTTGTATCTCTTTTCTTTCATCTCGCTAGCACGAAATTGAGGAAGGCGCGGGTGGTCTAGCGCACTTGCTCTCAACAGCGGAGCATGGCGTGAGGGCTAGCAACGACGAGGATATTGTCATCCTTACCCAGGTGAGGCAAAAACATGTGTACATACCAGGGTAGATGCGTGACTGGGTGGGGAAGGGACATCTACATGCTCGCGTGATTATGTTCAATGACACATGTACGAAGCGTGGTTCCAAACATGCAGCGCGCGCTTTCGGGACAATGCACAGAACAAACAAGGCTCACGACGGACACACCCTTCCCGACCCCTCCCCCCCAGGTTTTGGCGCACGAAGTGAACGTTGGGTACGAGGGCTTCTCCAACATGCAGCTCTTGTCGTTCAACGGGGAGCGCGTCAAGAGCCTCAAGCACCTCGTCCGCCTCGCCGACGCGAACCGGCAGGAGTTTCTCCGCTTCGAACTCTTCCGGGACAGGCTCATAGTCCTCGAGGCCGCGGGCGTGCCCGACGCGACCACCCAGATCTGTAAGGACAACTCCATCCCCTCCCCGCGCTCGTCGGACTTAGTCTTTGACGCCGCCAACTCTCGGACGACGGCCTCGGCGGTGGCTGGAGACGAGATGGTGGTTCCACCGGCTTCGAGGGAGGAGGAGGAGGAGGAGGTAGAAGACCCGCAGCGCCAGCCGCATTCGGCCGGCGTCAACGGAGGCAAGCCGCCGCGCCAGCCTTCGATCCCCGGCACGGTGGTGCCGGTCCGGCGAAAGCCGGGCGGGCGCGCAGGGGAGGGTGGAACGGCGGCGCGGAGGGCAGAGCCGAGGAGGGGCGCGGGAAAGGAGAGGGGAGCGAGGCTGAGGTCAGCGGTGGCGGCGGCCGGGGCTAGCGCAGTGGCCTTGGGCGGTTTGAGAATTGAAGGTCGGGATTTTTTACCGCGTTTGCGAACAGGCGCAAAGCGAAGAAGCAGGGGTGGCGGTGGCGAGAGTGGCGAGCGGAAACAAAGGACGATAAGTTGGCGGGGAGGGTAGGTAGAACGGAGAAGAGTTCAGCGTTTTGTTTCGGGGTTGCGGCAAGCCGCGTGCGCGGGTCACTGGTACGCACTGCGTGGTATGCCCTGAGAGGGGTGTGTGCGTGTGACGGCGGCCTCTCGTTTGGTGTCCTTGCTTGGAGTGCGGGACAACCTTCGTTGCGTTTGAAAATGGCTTCTGGGTGAGGAGCTACATTTTTGAAGGTCTACTGTAGTACCTTCAACGCTGACGGTTGCGGGGGCACTTTTCTTTGATGATACGATATGGAGACTGGTGTTTGCGCGGTTGTCGTGGAAACCGCCCAACCTTTGGTGCGAACATTGAGGGCCACTAATAGTGCTGGTATCGGTTGCTTAAATACGCGCCCTTGAGAGTAAGATGGGCGTGCTGCCACTGTGATGTTTCCTCTTGTCTCTGCTTCGTCGGTGACAAGAGATACGTCGTCAGGGTGCTTTGCTCCGGCTTGGAGCGGGCAATATATCAGTCAAGGCTTCATTTCACGCGATTGTAGTGTGGTATGATTTAACACTTGCGAAGCTGCAAAGGTGAAAGAGCTCCAGTGAGACAACTCGCATATTCTCCGTGAAGATCTCGGGCTGAATTCACCCTTTCCGGAACCCAATTTTTGACGATGTGAAAGTCGAAAATATGTCACATGTTGCCAGACGAAAAAGAGGGGTTGCAACGCATCTCCAGATTTCAGGTGGATCGCAGCTCGTCAGTCCGACTCCGGAGTTGAGTGTTGTATGTAGCCATCGTGCATTTTGGCGCTGAGTTTCAGGAGGAAACTGACTGGGAGCGGCAAACACTCGTTGGCCTTCACAGCTCCTCTTCCTCGTTTTCACTCTGCTCGGGAAATGTATGCTGCGCATCCACCGCGCCTTCAGCTGTCATCTCCACGCCGCCCTCGGCTGTCAATAGCCCCAGTTTCTCACATAGCTCTCCGACCGTCCCTCGTAGCTCTCCTACCGTCTCCCATACATCCTGCGTTCTTCCCTCAATGAAGCTGCTGCTGCTGCCACACCCTTCCATCGAGCCCTCGGCCGGTGCGGTTCGACGCGACTCGGACGGAGAAACAGCGACATCGCTCGGAGGGTCAGGTGGTTCCGCCTCTGCCGCTTGTACCGCCGTTGTTCTGGCCCGCGATGAGGAATCAAGTATGCCTTCGACAACAGCAAGGGCCATGTGGCGGTCATCTTCGGCCACGGGTACACTACTGATGCTGTCGCTCAAGTGCCGACTCCGTCTCTTATTCCGCCGTTTCTCGCACCAGGTCTTTTTCGCCTCTCGCAAGCCGCGAAGAACGGTTCGCGACTCCTCCTACATCAAAATTAAGGAACGCGCGTGTGCAATGGGGGCGGATTAAGCGCCAGCTGAACTTGGCGCGGTACGTTCCCGATGAGTAAGTACCCTACACTACGTTCCAGACAGACAAAGCGTGCATGTTCGCGTTTGCAGAATTCTTCCGACAGTAGAAACACTAACCCAGTGCTCACCTCTCCTTTGTGCCACACACGCCACCTGGGCTTGTCGACCACACGTGGACTCGCCTCTCCCTCTCGCCGGTCGCCAACACCAGGATCATGCACGCGCGAGAAGTCCGGGCCGGACACGGTCTTTGCCTCACCAGCCGCCTCCGCTCCGGTACTTCGCGACGATGAGTGGCATGGGTTTGGCAGCCCGGGGAGGGGCGTGGCCGCCGCCCGTTTGTCGGCCTCACCGTCGTCTAGCAGCAGACTGAGAGCGTCCTCGGTGGCATCGGGGACGAGTCGCGCAGTCACCGGCGTGCTAGTATAGTAGTATTGTACGCGAGAAGGAGAGCGGAGGCAAGCCATGCAGTAGTGGAGAGGGAGAGGGAGAGGGAGAGAGAGAGAGAGAGAGAGAGACGGAGGGAGGAAGAGAGAATTGAAAGGATTAACTTTAACCTGAGGGGGAGGTGGGGGGGTGGGGGGGCGATGACCCTTCTACGCGTACGCAAATGTAAAGTAAAACGAGGAGTTGGTTTCGACAAGGGTCTTGTGGTCTAGGTGGTCTAGGTTATTGGTGGATCTCCGCAATGTGAGCGTCTAGTCTATCGTATTCCAATATACCACGCAACCAGCAGTCGCAACAGGCGTGCTGCCAAATGCACGCAGTCAGCTGTATCCCATGTGAGGCTCCCGATTGATAGGCCGTTCTGTGCCACGCTCACCTGTGGCTAACGTCCGGGCTCACATTGACCTCTATCAGCATCACGCGCAGATCTTCTGCGACCATGAGATCGAACCCCAGCCATTCCACTGCCCGTCCTTTCATCTCGAGCTCCTCGCGGACGCCGAGCAAGGTCTGGACCACGACGGATCGGATTCGCGGAACTACCACCTCTTGAAACACGTCGTGCCCCTGCGGCATCCAAGACAAAGAATGCTGGGCCTTGTTGGTACCACCGCCGTTCATCACGTCTACTGCTGAAGGGCACTCCCTACTATGTTGCAAAGCCTCGCCCATATCGCCTGCCATTGTGCTGAGACTTTCGTAGGTTTAAACTCCGAAAGGGCTATCAACCACTCACGACAAAGAAGGACCTACGCCCAATAGGGGCATCTTCAACCTTACAAGACGAAGGAGCGACACCAAGACTACCTGAAAGCGTTGCTGGAGGTGATTCCGGAGCTGGCCCGCGGTCCACATGTTCTGTTGCGACCCTGAGGGAAGTGTTTCCCTGCCGCCGCCGCTGCCGGCCTCTTTGCTACTAACACTACTGTCGTTGTTCATACCAGTAGCAGTAGCAGAAGCGGACGCAGCACAGCTTTCGTCCCCTCGCCCGTTCTGTTGCTTCTGAACTGAGTGATTGCAGAGGTGCACTAACCTATCCGAAAGACTGGGTGCCTGTTGGGGAGCGTGTTTGGGAAGGGGGAGGGGGATCGGGGGCGGGGGCGGCGGCATGAAGACGCCATCCGGTATGGAAATACGGTGCCCCCCTCACCAACAAGTCATGCGCAGCGCAAAAGCAGATACCCAAACAAAAACAGACTTGAGCTGCACCAAGATGTGGTCATACGTACCCAGCCATGCCAGTCGACGCCATACCCCTGACACTTGAGCACGCGAGAGAAGGGGTCCACGGTGCAAAATGGAAAACGTCGCCCGTGTTCGCCGTCTTTTTTCTGGTGCATCGCTGAAGCAAACGTCCGCAGATTGCAACTATATATCAAGCCGACGGGGGGGGGGATGGAGCTGAGCTCACATCCATCGTGAAGGGTCTGGAGCTGAAGCGCGTGTAGCTCTCGTCAAAACCCCACACCACCAAAGGGTTGCAGGAGGTTACCAGCACCCACTGGCGGATATCAAACTTGTAGCCCTTGAAGGCGGTGAGGACGAGGGGGGAGACATACACGAAGGAGGCACCAGACGAGTACAAGCGTGAGCCAGAGGTGCCACGGCTTCTGATCGTGTATCGGTAGACCGCGCAGATACGAAACGAGTCGGGCCAACCAAGGCGAGTGAACCAAATAAAGCTTCACAACATACACGTCTGGATAAAGACCAACACGGCGGGCAGCAGCAACGACGACGACGACGACGACAACAACGACGACGACGACGACGACGTGTGTTACACTTAATTATGCCCCACTCGTTCCGACTCGGAGCACGCCTAGTTGACCAACGCTGACCTGTACGAGCAGCGGGCGCTCCACGTACTTCTGTACCACCGCCTTCCACTCGAGCTGCCGGCACGCCGACACCAGCGTCCGCAACGACGACGCCACTTCGACGCCCCTCCCGCACGACAGCCCGGCGGGCTTCACCACCCACGCGTTCGCCGGCCCGAGGCACAGCGCGGCCTGCGGGTCGGTGCCGCCCTCGTCGAGCGCTCGCAACAGCTCCCTAGCCATCGCGACGGAAGAACTAACTCCTCTGGCCTCCTCCTCCGCCTCCCTGCCTTCGACTGACCGGGCTTTGCTGTCCTCTGTAGTACCGTGAGCGGCGTCCATCTCCTCCCTCGGTTCGGACCCGGGCTCTTCTTCCGCCACTTCGACCGGTTCCGGTGCGACATCGCCTCCCTTTCCTGTGGCCGAGCCTTCCTCTTCTGTACAACCCCCCGCGTGCCCGCTTCCGACCTTCTTCGCCGCCCCCTGAGCAGCAGCAGCAGCAGCAGCAGTCTCCCAGGCCGTCAGGATGGTGGTGAACTCCGGGTCTCCCACAGTTACTGCGGCATCGATGGCGTCCCGTCCGGAGCGTTTTAGGCCGACACGTCTCTCCCTGCCAGACGAAGGAGGACCAGCTTGCAAGCAACCGCCCGCCGCGCTTGTCGGTGTAGTGTTTAATGGAGTCTGAAGGAAAGAAGCGTACCGGGAGACGACTGATGTGGCGGCCGCAAGGGTGGCGCTATCAACAGCTTTCGCTCTAATGCTGCCACCGCCGCTACCATCTCGGCGTTCTGCGCAACTTTCTCCCTGTTTACAGTAGGTTCGCGAACAAACAAGGTCATCGACACGCGAAGAAAATGTTTCACCAGGTTGGCTAAGATTTTCATCCAGCAGGGAGAAACAATTCTTGTCCTGGAATATGCTTGCAAGCGCGGACAGTGCACGGTGCTGCAGCAGCACGCCTTGTAATGAGCCGCGGAGCGCGAAGCGCGACCTTTGTTCACTTGATCCCAGGAGGAAAAAACGTTTTGGCTACCATGGCCCCAACTTTCAAATAACTACCGCCTGACTATGCCCTCCTTTTGGACCAGAACGAGGTCTATATAGAGCACCGATTGACGATCTGCTGGCTTGCGAGGAGGAAGAAAAATCGGGCACTCTCCACCACAACAGTTTGGTCGTTCTCCGACAGCAGATGGCTGTGCTTCACCGGCATTTGTACCCAAAATCCAAAGCAGATACTCACCCCCATCCCCGGGAGTTGTCAAGGGAACGGAGGGGGGACAAAAAGTTGGACACCTCCTACCCACACACACGCGGTTGCTTGGTTTAAACCAGGAGCAACAGAGGAAGCACTCAGCTAAACACCAACACCGCTGGGAGGGGCAAGACAGCACTGGCGCGGGAAGGGAACCATACACACAGCTGTGGCAGATGCCATTGGCATTCCTATTGCTTCGGTGTGTGGGGAGGGGTCATCGGTAAACCAAACCTGCGCCTGGGGTAAAAAAAAATACAAACTGCAGACGAGCCAACATTTTTTCAGACTGTCCCAGACTCGCGTTCGCAACTCTGAGCGTTCAACAGCCTCCTCGTCTGTATCAATCACCACCACAATACGGAGCATGCACCTTAGTTATTACCGCTGCTTCGGTGTGTGTGTGTGGGTCACCTGGAAACAAACCTGTGCCACGAGAAAAAAATGCGTAAGAAGAGCCTTTTCGGCGGCAGGGTGTTTTTTCTCGCATGCATGCATTGCCGGCTCTCGCCACCTCAGCTTCCGTGGGTCCTATGGCTCAGTGGCCTCTATCAGCCGCCACACAAGATATCGCATACGCACAGCTCGCGGGGAATAGCTTTACAATTTCTGCTGCGTTGTTCTGTGCAGAGGAACGTATGTATGACGTATGCACACACGTCTAGCGTAGGTGACACAAGATACCACACCCCCTGTACCGATTTTCTCAAAGCTCGAGTACTCCACGACGAAGAGGGTGCGTAAACCATGCGGGACGTTGTTGGAAAGCTCTCGACAAGACGGTTCCCACACCACCATTTCGGTACCGCCACTCTTTGTGGTGTGGAGCAACCGAGCGTTGAAAATTGGTCCAGGGGTTGTTGTATCTTTTTGTCACCTACGGTACTGCTGTATACACACCACCCCCAAAGGCAGTTCGTTGCAGGTGGCTAGCTGCAGGAGCCTTTTTATTTTTTGTGTGGTGATTACTCGGATTCAAAAACTCAAAATGATATCGACTGCACCAGCCACCGCAAAAAGCATCACAGATACATAGGCTACTGCAAAGTATTGAGTCGGCTACCCCGCGGGTCATTACCCCGCCCTATCTAGTACCGGGCTGTCATTCTTGCTCGCCACGTCACCTCCGCGTTCACGGCAGTCCGCAGCAACGCCACCGCCGCCGACACGGCGAACGCCCTCAGCATCGAACAAACCCCGTCGCCGTCGTCGCTCACGTCCCAACATCTCGGGAAAAACGCCTCGGGGTTGGCGGCTTGAAAGGGGGTTTTCCACGCGGTGGCAGCTGCTGTTGGAGGTATAGGATCGCTCGCGTTGTTGCAGGCTTGCCCTTGGCTGGGGCCGTTGCTGTTGGAAACCCCTCTACCTGGGGCAGACCAGGCGCAAGGAGAAGAAGAAACATAATCGACACCGCCGCCGTGCTCTGACCCCCCTGGGCCCCCCAAGAGCGGTTGCTGCTGCTGCCCCTGCTGCTGTTGCTGCTGGCATCGCTGGTGGTCGTGCTGGAACGCTAGGTGGCCGGTCAGCAGGGCTTTGTTGCTGAGTTGCTGAGAGTTGAAGACGTGGTTAACGAACTGCGGCGATCGCGAAGCGGAGGGGGCGAGTGGGTGAAAAAGACGCTCGGGAGTAAGCTCACGCAGGCTGTGTGCTTAGGCTTCGTAATTTTCTCTGGCTGCGTGGAAGTACCCAGAGAAAGGGTAGAGAACCGGTATGGGGGATAATCATTTTTTTGCACGGGCTAGTCATTTGGAACCACCGTTCACCGCGAGTGCTGTCAGTTGGAGGCGGGCATCCTTCTTGTTTCCCAACAGAGCCACATGCCGCGCTGCGTACACATTGTCTTACTCGTGAGACGGACCGAACAGTTCGGTGACAAGCGACACTCCCTTTCGTTCGAAAACCAAAAGGAAAATGCAAGTAGCCGGAGTCGGCGGGTCAACAGCCGACCCAGAACGTCCGACAGCGGTGCGTTTCCCTTCTTTTTTTTTTTGTCGGCCACCCTGAAAAGACACGAATGCTTACATAGAGTGGAAGAGCAGAAGATAGCGGAAGTCAGGCTAAGATCAAACGAAAACAAACGCTTCTATCACTAGTTCTTGCTTCAACCTCGCCACCACAAGATAGTCCCACCATCAGCTCTATACCTGGTGTTTCCGGAGAAGGCGGAAGTTGATGTTGCTTAGATTCCGCCATTTCAGGTCGAAGTTGGGGCTGTTAGCGTTACCAGACCGGGTCCAGCCTCGCCGCTGCAGGGCGCGTATGACGTCTGAGAACTTGTCGTCCGTAACGAATATCCCGCGCTGCCGGGAGTCGGTCCTGGTGGCGGTATCGTCGGTGCCGGTGCCAGATCTGCTCCTTGAATGGACACATGAGCGGTGGGGACCAAGACGTTAGCGCTGTAGCCCCAACAACACTTCTAGAGCAGGACTGGCGCGCTGTCCGAGTACCCCTTGACACAAGCCAAAAAGTGAGAGCCAACGCGCTTTGCTTGGGAGTGGTCATGGTAGAAAAGGCCTAGACCACACAAGGTGCGGAGAACACAGGTGGATGGCAGTAATGCGGGCAGGCAACCCCAGGAGCGGAAATAGCCGTTCGAGCCCGCCCGATGGCCGTGCGGCAGCTGTCGAATGGTGTGCGTCTTGTGGTGGGCACGAGCGTCAAAAGCCCCCGTAGGGTGGGGGCGAAAGTGCAAGGAGGGTGAGAACTTGTACTCTGGTGCCAACGGCTCATTTCAGAGTACGCGCCCTTGGCGCCAACACGTCGCCGCTTTGGAATCATCCAGCGAATCAAATTCAAACGTTGCTCCTCTGGGAAAATCGTGGCTTCAAGGCACGTAGGCCAAACCCCTCCACACGCCCCAATCCCAACCGAAACTCTCGATTGAGTCGATACGATACGATCGCAGTGCGCTTTCGTCCCCCGGTTCATTTCTCACCATTTTTCTCCGCCCTGCGCGAATGGGTACATCTTTCGTTTGCTCGACCTTGTTGTCAATCAACCTCGATCAAGGTCTATACACGTGGAGTACCGAGGTTGTCCCTCCGACAGAAATCTCGAAGTTTTGTGGAGGTGCAGTCTGCAGGGTCGTGTCGAGTGCACGTTCACCGCCAGCCTGTGAAAAAAGGGTGGGGGGGGGACCCATCGCGCCGGCGGGTGGGTGGGGGCACAAACACGAGTTGATTACGTCCATTGTACATCCAATAGTGCGATGAAGGAAGGGCAAATAGCTGTTATGTACATGCAAAAATACGAAATACAACAAGGAGCATTTTCCTATTCGCTCCTTGTAGCACGATGGAGGCATCGAAGGCGTATCCTGCCCGCCGACTTGGCCGGTGCCGAATTACCCTTCTTGTACATGGTGTGTGCTCGCGAGCTCGCGGCCAATCTGCATGTATGTGTGTGTATCCATGTATGCATATCCGCAGGCAAACCATTTGCGACCAAGATGGCCGTACATTTGTATACGTTAGTACTACTTTAGACTTCTTCCGAAGTTATATTTCACCTTTGGGAACGTCATCTACTTGGCTACTACACACCTTCCGCTGAGCCGGAGGAAGAGTGGGTGCACACGCGTCTCTTGTCCCTTTCGTCACGACGCTCTACGCTCTACACCTGCACCCAGGGAGAGGCCACGCTGATGTTTCGTACCAACCCCACCATTCCCAGCCACCGAGTCCCCGGCTTGGTCGCGCAGGTCGCGCAAGGGTTGCGGAGCTGTGCCACATCCATCGCCGCATCCCACACGTGTCCGGCCGCCTGCTCCCAAGTCTCTCTCCTCCCTTCCACACAGGACAGGACACAAGAACAATGGCTGAGGTGAGTTCTTACTGGCAAAGGAGGTAGGACTACCCTGATTACTGCCGAAATGAAGCAGTCAGTGCCAGAAGTTTCTCACCATAATGGCGGTGTGGTGAACCCTTTGGCACACGACACTCGCGTTCTAACTTGTGTCTAGAGGTTGGCATGGCTACGTTAGCACCGACTGGTCTGTGGCTTGTAGTATGGCCACGGAACGATTTGGTTTGCTTGGTTCACGTCGTGTGTACCCCGCTTCATTGTTTTTTTGTAGGCGGCGTGCCCGTTGATGTATTATAATTACAACGTCGTTTGGTCGTCGACCTTCAACTTTCCCTGTTCAACCCAACAAGGCCACTTCCATTACGTACACCAGGGAAGCATACTTGCCCGTGTAACTCCATACACATGAAACTTGGCGAATAGTCTCAAAAGTATCATCACTTGATTTACGGATTTGTTTATTTTCGATCGCGGGATTCGTGATTTTTGAGCGGTGCGACAACGCAGAGAGCAAGTCTGGTGGAGGTGAGGTTCGTGTGTAGACTAAATACAAGCAGGTAATTTGTTTGGGTACCACGCGCTTGCTTGTCTACAGACAAGTTTGCAGCACTCTCACCACTACGGACCCTGAATAGCACGATGCGCTGACGGTTGGCACGTGGTGGATCAACAACGGCACCATGAAGTCAGCCCCACTTCCTCCGCGTCTCTCAACCATGTGCCTGCTGTGGTCCCTTGCTACGGCTGAGCCGGCAACCTCTCTTCACTGCGAGCCAACGGGTAATCGTTATGTATCGTTGCGTTCCACAACGGAGCGAAGAACGAGACGCGCACGGTCGAGAAGAACGTACATGGTCACTTTCGTTTTGTTGTGGGTTTGTCGCTCATAGACTTGTAAATTTACCTCCCTTTGCACGACACTAACATTTTAAGGTTGCAAACGGGAGACGGAGCCAGAGTCACAGATTAGCCCAGCCCCTTGAGTGAGGATTGCTCAGCACTCTTTGTTGAAAGGGTCTTCGCAAAAGCATTGGCGTTGGAAATTCTCGGCGAGCGTCAGGGATCACTGGGCCTTCACTGCCCTCCTGTTTCGAGGCCGATGTAACGCACCCGCACCCCCAGATCGTTTGCTCTAACTGCGGCGCTGATTCCCTCCCCTCCCACCGCCCCACGCCCCATTGCGACTCCTCTGGCATCACGCCACACACCCACCCTCGGTTGATCGGTTGGTTTCTTTCTGTTTTGGTTGAATAGGTCGGCTATGATCCCAAGCGGAGTAAGGTCAGCGACGATAAGCTCGCCGAGTTCATCCGCTCCGCCGTCACGGGCGACCTCACGGAGGTGAGCTGCTCCCACAAGTATCAGTTCAACCAATGTGAAAAGAGGGAATCGTCCGGGACGGCCGTTGCGAAATTGTACCCTTTGTGAAATGGGATCTCCACAACTGGTAGTGATTTTTTTTAACACAAGGCAAGACGAATGCGGCGATTGTCTGGCTGTGACAGCTCGGGCAGTGTGGACGAGCGTGCGGTAGCGATTTCCAGGGACGTGTGTAATGTTGTACTTGTTCATACGAAAGACTTCTCCTTTTCCCAAAGTGCGTCATGCCTGATGCTGCCCGGCTGACAAGGTAAAACGCGGCATCTGCCGTGGGCGGCTGGTCGGTAGAGTGTGGACACATGATACGTAAATAATATTGTCTGTCCACGGAACAAAGGACGAATACCTCCGCGGCAAGCCCAAAGTGGCAATATCACTGCACAGCTTTTTTTTTGTGAATGTGAATGTGATGATTGCTCGGCCCTTTCATATTTGCGCGAAAGAAGCACGTGCACCGCTTGCGCGCGCGTGTGTGTGTGTGTGTGTTTTGTCCCAGTTGCGTTATGAAATCGCTGGTATCTGGTAGCTTGCCATATGGTATTCTTGTTGCATTCATGTCACGAACCTGCCGACGCCCTTCCCGCCCCCCCTCCTCGCGACTTTTTTAACACCGAATTCTCTGTTCATCGTCGAAGGTGCCCGGCATCGCAGCAAGAGGGGCAGAGATCCTGGCGGACGGAGAGGGAGACGACAAGGTCACCAACACGTACCAGCTCATCGGAAAGTTTTTGGCACTCCGGGGACCCGACAAAACCGACCATGAGGTATGTGTAGGTGTCATCGTGCCCATACCTACATATGACTAGGCCCGGACATTTCAACAAGGCCGTACAGGGTAGTACTAGGTTTTACTTAGCCCTGGGCATACCGAAAGTTATCGGCGTAATTTTGTTTTGTGTCGTTTTTTTTTCCCAAGGTGGACTCCGTGGAGCACTGCGACAAGTTCTGGTACTGGCTGCAGGCGAAGGGCATCAACTCGAACCGATCTGGCATCGTCAACGCTATCGCCGAAAAGGTCAACACCTGGATCCCTGGTGAGTGTGGTGTGTTTTCTCTTGGGCCTTTCTGTGTTGCACTTGACTATGTAGGTTATGGTGGTGTGCATGTTTTGCTAGGTGAAACAAGTGAGTGTCCGGACTGCAAGCTACTGGTATGAAAACAGCCGACTCCAAGCAATGCCTGTCAGACCAGCGGAAACGTCTGAAATGACCCTGTTTGAAGGAACAGATTGATCAGCCTTGTACGCGTAGAAAAAGGCCTAGGATCCCTCATGGATTGTAATGCCAACGGGCATTTGCCATGGGTTGGCGCACACCCCCCAGCCAGACGGCGGACGTACATTCCCGGGTGCGCCCCGCTGCTCGCGCGTTCCCCAGGGCCTCTGTTCGTTTACTTACCCTCGGGCTTCCCCAACCTACGTGCTTGTATTTTCAGGAATCTACGACGCCGACAGCTACACGGACACGGCTTGATGGTGGACGTTTCGTCACGGGCAACCGAACAGCTACAAACTTTGGGCTCCGCCAAGAATTAGTTCCGCCCTTTGTCATGCACTGTGTGCCCCCGAAGAATAGGGTGGAGCGGGGGGTTACGTGGGTGCGGAGAAGAGGCCACGCGCGGGTGGAACAACAAGTAAGAATTGTACTTCTAGACTGGGCTTAGTGTGATTCGGTTGACAGCTTTTGTTTCTGTCCTTTGCTTTTGGGCGCCTCCCCAATTCCTGACCGTTCGCACTTGCTGTTGTTGATGTTGCTTCAGCTCGCTGCAGGGTTTCGAACACTTCTTGTGATTGTGTTCCTCTGCGAGTTCGTTTAGATTTCGTAGAAATGGCCTGGTCGTCCATCGTCGTGCCCCCGTTTCATGAGAAACGCATGTACAGGCTATATATTTTGTAGGGTTGTGGGATGACGGGATGCTCCATTGATTTTCGGGGAAGGTTTGCGCCGGTTAGTTTCCAAGGCTCTGTGTACTTTTCTCGATACACTCTACATCTTCCCCCGTTGGCGCGTTTTGAGACGGGTGGAATATGCGGTTTTGTAGCATGTTGTGTTGGTCTGAAGGTCTTGGGGAGGGGGCTATACCACACGGACACGTAGTTTTAGGGGTGCCCTTCACTGCTGTCATGTTTATGGTGTGCTGTGGTCTCCTCTCAACTTGAGGAGAACCAATTCTTCAAGACCTGGCGCCGTGACTCTGCACTGAAAACGTAGACACGGAGCCCTAGATTGTGGTTACGAGTTGTGTGTAGGACATGGGCATGGTGGATGAATACCTGGTTCTACAGTACAAGGCTCGCGAGGATTTCGTCACAGAACCCACGGATTGTACCGTTACCTCGGCAACTGACGTTTTCAAGCAAGCAATTTGAAACGCTTTACACGCACTAGCCCCACGTCTCTCCACCAAGACCTCCCGGCAAGGTTCTGGCACCTATGTAGGCAACATGTTACATTGGGTTGGGTTGGTGAAGAAGTTTGACACATACATGTGTATCCCGCCTCTCCTGAAGCCCGTGGGATTACGAGTGCGGATGGCACACGTGCCCGTGTGCCATCCGTACTCCGGCTGGCAGAAGCACGCGCCGCGAAAAACGCTTATGTTTGGTGCTGCTGGGACGTTTACATGCTGCTTTTGCTCCATCCCCTCCTAAACGCCACGGCATGCCCTCGCACGTTAGCTTCTTATTGCTACGGCCGCCTCGTTCCTTCCTTCCTGAGCTTGCCCCCCAAGCTCAATAGCCCGGGCTCTACGTCCCTGTATAGCTCTTCCAGTTGGCGTTTCCGAGTGGCCGAGTCCGTCGAAAGCTCCTCCCCGTGGCGTTTAAGGAGCCGCCTCTTGACCATGAGCCTGTAGCGCTTACGCTTGTCATCGACGGCTGTGGCATTATCGCTGCCATCACCAGGAGCGGCATCGGCGGCGGTGGTCGTGTTTGAGGCTGTAGTAGTTGCCATCGAGCATGTCGAATCCTCGCTGGCATTATCTTTCACCTCCGGTAGGTCGCAGGCCTTGAGGATGTCGAAACCAATCTCCACCTGGGAGACCGTGAGCTTGGCAGCCTGCCCGAGGACCACCGTGTGTGGTTGCGAGAAACCATGATTGTTGAATGTCCACCAATACCGCACCGCAGAGAGCCGACGCCGGGATATTGGCAACACGAGGCAACGAGCGTCGTACGTGCAAAATGAGGGTTCAGAGGGGGAGGAGGGGGCAGCAAACAGCGCTAATAGTTAACACCCTTCGTAAAGGGGGTGGCGTAGAAACGGGCCTTAGATACAGCACTTCTATTGGTTACTCACGGATATCGCGACCAAAAAAAGGCTTGGCTCACTAAGTCGCACCTCGCGCGCGGCCTGCACCACGTCCTTCGAAGGTCGCTTCCATGCGCCCGGCGAGATAACATCGGCCGGGAACACGTCGAGGTCTCGCAGCGTTCGGGCGTCCACCAAATTACGCATCTGTCAAGCCAAGAGAGGACATGGTGAAGCTTTGAAACGGGGGGAAAGAGGGTGCAATGATAATCACACCTACCTGGGGGCCGAAACGCCTCCTTGGGCTGTGTGCATTTACTCGGCACTTCGGCAAGAGGGTACCCTACTAGCGCGAAACCCGTCTACCAAGAGACAGAAAATATGCGCCACAGCGACCAAGTGGACACCATGCCCCTAGTTTTCCCCTGGAAATTCCACCCGCTCGGCAATTGCAACGCCGTATTTGATGCCGGGACTATTAGCTTTCATTTGAGAGGCATTCGAAGGGTAAGCACATAGCCCAACAATCAACAGCACGAGCGGGCGAGTGTGGCGCAGTCGCTGCAAGCAGTAGTAGCCCCCGACAACAATGTCCGACAGTTTCATCTTCGTTCCGAAATGTCGTTCGGAGTCCTGAATCTTCGGCTGAGTCAAGTCGTGTTACCTTTTCGAACCCGGGAGCGGGATCTTCCACAGTTATCTCGAACACGCTCTTCCGCGAGCGGGCCAGGCCGTAGAGGAACGACAGCAGCTCCTTCCCGTGACCTGGCAACAGCCGAAGGACAAAAACTTTCCGTAAAGAGTTCGTATCTTCGAACAAAAACCTTTACTGTACCGTTAAAGGGCCAGAGAGGGCTACGAGCACACAGCGAACGTCGGGACTCCCGCTGTTGGGTTTTCCCTGAGACACCCTGCTTGAGCCGTGAGGTAGGCATGTCGTCCCACAGCCAAGCACAGACCGCACTCCGCACGTTGGCATGGAGGCAAACCTACGGAGGCCGAAACAATGCAAAGGCGGGTCCATGTTCCACGTTTCTGAGGTCGCGGGAAAGCGCACCTGCACTGTCCCGAGGCCGTGGTCAACCTTACCAAACGACGGTGCACGTAAAACCACTCCGTTACTTGGACGTACGGGGGCAACCGAAGCTTCTAGCGCTCCCTGTAACTCACCTTGTCGTTGGAACTGAGGCAAAACCAACGCCTGGCAGATCCTCAGGCTGACACCCTTGACTGGGTTGCGGAAGCCGAAGGCTGTGAAGTATCCCGCCAGCGCGGCGGGTCTCCACTTCTCGCCCAAGACCCCCTGTGGCGGTTCTTCCTGGAACAAGTAGAACACCTCCCAGCGGTCGTCCGTCAGGTCGATGGCATCGGCGGCTGCGCGCAGAAAGGCGCGCACGCTCACGAGGTCAAAGGATGTGCTTGCTTCATTTAGACCACAGCAGAGCGCGGAATCGGGGGGGGGAGGGTGAACCGCGGGATGATCTAACTTCGGTCGTCGGAGCTCTCACAGGGGAGGCAAGGGGAAGAAAAGGAAGCTTGAAACGGCCTTCATGGCAGTGTTCCCCGTAAGAGGATTGTTCCGTCATCATCTGTGGGCGAGTACTGTAGTTGTGAGGTCGTTCTGGTTGAACAGGTGAAGATGGTCCAATCACACGGCACTTCCAGACACAAGCGAAAGCGTGTGTGGCAAAAGAGGCCAGAGAGACGTGTACACAAAGGCAAATCGAGAAGCTAGCGGGGTTCCGAAGTTCAGCCCTCCTCACTCTCAATAAACCAGGGCGCAAGGCACTGGGCCCGCGCGTGGTACTCGCACGCCCCGGGATCCTCCCCGGTGGCTTTGTACACCGAGAATGTTGTCCCCCCCCTTGAGTACTCGTAGACGCGGGCACCAGGTGGCTTGAAATCCTATTAGGTGTGCACGGGAAGAAACGGGAGGAAAATGAACAACGAACGAATCCGAAATTGATGTGATGCTGTTCGAGCACCACCCCTTCCATCAGTCATGCGTGTAGATTTTCCGTGCACGTTCACGTGCTTTTCGACAGATTTTGGACTACGCAACCCACTGCTAGAGGGTGCGCCGAAAGAAAGACACCGCTCGATGCATTTTCCACAGCAGAGTAGCATTTTTGTCGTCCCAAAACAGACAGTACACGAATTCGATATACAACATTATAAGAAGAGGTTCTTCAAGCAGATCACTGCGTTGATTGCAGCACAAAATACTCGCACTACTGCTGTAGGTCGATCTTGCGGTGGAAACGGTAAACTGGACACCACCCACTCACTCTTCGTCTCCCTTCCAGCTCTTCGTAGAACTTCCGCTCATCCGTCGTGAAGTTTTCAGGGGGGAGCGCCTTGGACAGACCAGACAATATGGCGGTCGTCCTGGGGTATATTGAGTGCGATCGGTGATAAGGCAGGCAAGACGCCAGCACGGTCGATTGGGTGCAGCAGCAGCAGGGATGTGAAAGGAAGAACAGCTAGAGGGGAAACATGTCGATCGCCCTCTAGGAACGTAGGCAATAGGCAAACTATTTTTCCTTGGTGCAAAGGGACAGCACGTGTTACTGTCTTGCATGCATCAATCAAGGTCGTGGTGTCGCATCCACGTATGTGCATACACTACAACAAGAGACGGGGAGTGGTGCGGGGGGAGTACGGTTCATACCACAAACGCTCTCCCGCACAAGTAGGAACCGATGCCTATTACCAACCCTGCTGAGCAACTAATGATGCAGGTGGTGGCGCCATTTGTGTAAAGAAGTAGTGCCATACCTGCTGGCGTCGTTTTCGCTCGTTTGTATCTTGACCAGGAAGTCAAGCGACGTTGGCGTGTAGAAAATCCGGATGCTGACAGCTCCGTCCTCGAAACCCTCGATGCGCTCTTCTTCGAACAGCTGGTGCGTGAAGTCTGGGCGGCACCCTACATCTTCGTTAACCTCCTCCTTCTCGTCGGCACCAGCCGTCTTCGGGCCGATGGCTGCCGTTGTTCGCCCGGAATCGGAGGGCACACGTCGAACATGAGCGATGATAGAGAACGTGTATGAAGTACTTGCAAATCGCCCCCTGTCTCCGAAGACTTCGTTACTCAATCACCCTCACCTATTTCGATGTAAGTTTTCTCGGCTCGGAGACATCCTGGATATTTACATGATCTAAAGGAGTACCAGTGGTTCTAACCTCGAACACCTACAGAGATAAGTCTACTATTAGTCTAGTAGTCTAGTGGTCATCGTGCTTCTCAACAAAAGTTAATGCCCGAGTCCGTCAAGTTTTTCTTCTGAACAATACAACGTGTGTATGCTACACGCAGCTAATCATGTGCATCGGACTACCCATGAGGTGTTATCGCCGTACCGCCGTACAGAGTGTTAATGTTAATGATATTCAAAACTCGACTATTCTGCAGCAGACACAGCTGTGACGGTGCCGACGATGGCGGCATTGGAACTGCCTTGTCCAGGACCTTCCGCAAACGTGTGATTATCTATTTTGGCGCTCTCTTTGCGTGGAGTACGGCGAACACATCGGGCCAGGGGTAGTGGTATCTTGCGTAAAAAATTCAAATTCAGTGAAGATCCCAAAAACGAACAGAAATCAAACAGGCAAGAGATTCTCCACATAGAGACAGAGGCTGGATGTACACTACGGTATATCCTGTTTCTTACCACTACAAATCCTGATAGCGCCGTTGGCACTACACGATGGTGGTGCGGGTGGCGCCTTGTTTGAACTAGCTGTCCCGGACGTGTTGGTCCGATCTGGGAGCACAGAGTCGTCCCATCGAACACGCTTGGCGGGTAGCAAGCTGGGGTCACCGCTACACTGCTTGTCCATAGCGGGAGAAGCACCGGACCTAGGGCACGTGTGGCGTGATACGTGTTGCAACGTACCGTGGGGAGTGCTGAGTGACCGTGATTGCTGAGCAGCAACGCAGGCCCAGGAGGCCCAGAAACAGACTCTCGGGGGCAACGCAAAATCTCAATACACGGCACAACGGAGGGTTTCTCCCCGATATTTTGCCGTTGACCCAGTCAGTAGAGAACTACAGGGGATGTATTGTAAAATGTAAGTTACCTATACAGATGTGTTTTTGTACTTGTAGCACCAGCTGGCATCACTGGTACAAATCATCAGTGTATAGACTTAAAAAGACTCGAAATAAGTCCAGTACCCAGCCGGTTTCCCTCCACTCACTGAAAAGACTCCACCACATCCCGTTCGACTGTGGGTATATCTCGAATGGGTAGTCTTTCTGTGTGTGTTTTTATTATTCACCAACATGAGAGAAAATACTTTACAGTCCTGGGCAGGCGTTGTTGACATGCATGCACACAACACACCAGAAGAGATCTGCGCACGCAGCAACACGCGATAGACTTGTACTTGCAGAGCTTTACTGCTGTATGTGTACTGCCGCGATCACCGACATGTGATGTGACCAAGTTTTGTCTGGATCCTCTCTAGTCTAGGTAGAGTTGCGCGGCAAGGTAAGAGATTTTAAGACAGGCACAGAAAAAAAACCCGGCGTGTCTGAAAAAAAATGAAGCTACACAGCTACAGCAGTAGTACTACATTAATCCTTACTTCGGTTGTGAAGAAAAAAAAGGCAAACGTATAAGTCGAAAGAAGTAGGGATGGGTGGTGGATCCCGTGCCGTAGCCGGGGGCCTCATTTCATCCCAAACTCTACATCGTCGACAACTATGCCGCAGTATCGTACTGACTACGGTACTTTCCTGTGGGAAAATCGCGGGTCCACAAACGAATTGAAATTCGGCATCACGGGCGTCTGCCCCGTAGCATGTTGGAACTCTGCAACAAACAGCTCCGACCGTTCATTGTATTTTCTCCCTTCGGTAGTACTGCTACAAGGCTGTACTGTAGTACCGTAAACACGCGAGAGATGCCAGACAGAGGAACTCGGGCCAAAACCGTAGAAATACTTGCGAGACCGGCCCACCCACCTCCTGCAAACAAACGTTGATGCAATCAAGGCTTGGCGCCTCTGGACTAATATTATTACAGACCTCATTGCCGCGCCAACCGCAGCCTCGGCGCAGCTCGTGCATCTGTGGGACCGCCGACCTCAGAACTGGAGGCCTCCTCCAAAATCCAATACTTGCATGCATTGTAGTTAATGAAATAATCTTACATGTAGGCAAAAACACCTTAATGCTACTAATAAAATACTTATCACCTCCACATGTTTGTATTCTGACCCATACGGTAAATGTTTCTCGAAAATACAACAAAAAACAAAAACAATCAAGAAAAACAGTGCAGCATCAAATTGCCAGGAGATAGACTAGAAAGAGAGGTTAGAGTTTATCGGAGCGATCGGTCTGACAGGCAACTGTGTGTTGCATCGTTTTGTGCCAAGACGTCAATCACGGGAAAAACCAAAACCAGACATACGTTCGGATGGTCGAAAAATGACACCGGACTACTACTGTGAAATCGGTAAATGTACATCAAATGCGGAGATTAGGTGCTCTGCAGCTGCGCTATCTCTATCGTGTCGGTACGTGGGCCATCGCAATACTTGACAGTCAAGTCACAGAACAGCCCCCTTTCGATCCTGCCGCCCACACGCTCTCACATCGTCTCTACCGAATACTGCCTACTTCGACTCTTCTCTCCTGAGCCTCTCCCTCCATTACTTATATGCCCATCACCATCGGGTACAGAGTACCTGGAAGCCTTTGAAGTTGACACAGCAACCGTTGAACAGTAGTAGCACAGAGGTAAAATTTCCTACTGACAGAGGCTCTGTCATGCTGAAGAGATAGACCAGCTACAATCCCCCTCCCAACTCTTCAGATACCTCTCTTTCTGCCCACGTACATCCAGAACGACCTCCACTTCTCCACCTCCACTTCCCACTCCTTGCACTCCTCCAGCAACGGTAGCGCGATCTCGGGCGGCGTGAAAGAAACGCACACCCAGATCCCGCCGGGACGTAAAACTCTAACGATACTCCGCGCCATGCGCGAAAGGAACCAATCGAACGCTTCGGAGCAGGCGATGGCGTCCAGGGTTCCCTTGTCGATAGCCGTATCGAAGGAGGCGTCCTCGAAGGTCAGGCTGCATGCGTCCATTACCAGCCACTTGACTCCGGGGCGGCTGGCTGAAGACGGCGAAAGGCGACCTTGCTCGATGCAGGGTTTGCTGAAGTCGATGTTGGTAATGTTTCTCCAGCCGTGGTCGTACATGCTGCTTACGTTGACGGGGTACGAAAAACGGTGGCGTTTCAACATTCTATTGCGTATGAACGTTCAGGAATAAATTGTATTTGAGTAGGTGCGACACCGCAGTACTGTATATGTACGTACGCTCTGTACTTGCTCGATACGTACGACGTTCAGGGAAAGAACAAAACTTGTTGGCGACGGTTTTTTTCCCATGAAAAGGCACGTCGCATGCAAGGGTTCTTTCATGTACGATTCTCGACCGTTTTCCATACAACGGGATTCGACAACACGCTGGGGTATATCCCACACACCAGCATACAACTACACACACACCTCATTTCAGCCAGTCACCATGTGCAACGACGATGCGCAGTCACCCTCGGTAGGTGCTGGGCTCCCTCCCCCTCCCCCCTCTTTGTCTCTGGAAGTGAAAGCATTCCAAAGATAAACTAAGCCATTCGCAGCTGTCATCCGTATGCAAGGAAGCAAGCACAAGATGCCGAACACCCCTAGCCGGGTGCAGCGCACCCTCAATGCGACTCGCCGAAAACCTCACGGCGTTTCGCACTTGGTAATGTGCTACCCTGGCCCGGTAGGTCCGGTGAAAACCCGACGTTCTCCGTCCCGGCTTTGTAGGGATGTAAGGTCAATGGTCTAACGACTTCGGCACGCACGACGAAGGGTACCCCCTTCTCCAGGGACAAAGCATGAGGTCAAGTTGAGGACTGGGGACATTGGCCTGCGAGAACGTAGACAAAGATTTAGGAAGGTAGACGATGACGAAAACTTGAATGCAAATGCGGCTCCCAATGGGAAGACCGGGTTCATGTAGTTGCAGAAGGTCCGTTTAAAAGGCGAGAGAAATATACACGAAAGAGGAACGTGCTGAAAGAGCTGGGAAAAGTAGAAGGAAGTAGTGAGAGATGTTTGAGGCATGGAGTGACCAGGAAAATAGATAGTGGCTTCCAGGGGTACAAGTGGGCTGAAAGGGTGGGAAGTGATATTGATACGATAGATAGGCTAGGGAAAACACTTTTGAGCCACTTTTGGCAAAAGTAGGAAGAAACGATGGGGCATCGGTGATCGGTCCTGTGGGAACAACGCTTCAACCTCTCGAGGACGCGTGGTCAGAGGACGCATGGTCAATGGTCTAACCACTAAGGCATGCAAAACATGGCAGTACACCCCCCTCCCCCCCCTCTCTCTTTCTTGGGCGGTGTACGACGGTGGATGATGTTTGGGCGGGAGTGGGAGCACATGGGCACGCGCCTTGCGTGCGAATAGACCGCTTCTCGCCAACGTTGGTTCCGGTTCATCCAAGTCCGGATTTGCAAACAAGAACAGTTATACATTTGTGTTGGCTGGCGGTTGGCACTGTTGTTTCACCTTCTGTGTCCAGGAAGCTGTTCGATTTTTGACAGTCTTTCATGTTCTCTGCAGCAGCTGTGACATTCTTACCACCACGGTAGCACATAGAACAGCGAAGAACACGTTGATCAGGTACAACAGTTTGAGAAACAGATCCGGTCGAACCCCTTCGAATCAAAGAACGGAACACAGAGACGTGCAGAGAAGGCTCATTATGTAGAACAACAGTTGCCGGTGTTCCGCGTTTGGGTGGGCACGCGCCCACGCACACACGCATCATCTCCATTCGACAAGTAGTCTAAAGGTCTAAACCGCTGAGTAAAGCGGTTATACCATTAAATCTGAGAGGTGGGACGCCGTTCTGGCTTTATTAGCAGCTGTACTGGTGCAGGTGCTGTCGCCGTCTATCTGTCACTCTCATTCCATTCCTTTTTCAACAAATACCTTGTCCGTGCAGACCGCCGAGTCTCAGGTTGGGACCGACGTTGGCATTGCGGCATACATCTGCACATAACACACACATAAACATGCGTGCGGCATGCGGGGTTTTAACCAAGAAAAATCCAGAAAGTATCATAGACAACGCTTTATTTAATGAAAAGAACCTATACCCATAAGGAAAAAGCGATATGACACAACAGCTGGCGGGTTTTACGTAAGATCATCAGGACACTGGTGTGGTATTTGGTTCTCCGGGTGTAGCGAGTCTCAGGTGTAGAGGCGCCGAGATGGGTGAGCTCTAGGTGCGAGGGTCGGATGCCCTCGAGAGATCTATCCGCATGTGGGCGAAACAAACGAGTTGTTCGCGAGATGTTCTTGCAGCCAAATTCCTACAAAAGGATCTTTACGTCGAAGGAAAAGCTTGCCGAGCTCCCCAAAATGGCGCAAACCCTCTTGGAAGTACGTACATATGTAGTCTTGCGTACGAAATCTTATTTTTCATCTGGTTGCTTAAACACGCATCACCCCTTGCCGCGGTGCTCTCTTTACCCCATTCCGGAGGGAGACCTTGTGTCTCAATTAGTCCTTAGTCCTTTCGTCAAATCCGGTTTGCTCCTGTCTGTAAGATGTAAAGAGTGGACCGGCGGGGGTTCTATTGTACCCATACCCAATTAAGAGTGAGCGTTCTTTGAATCTTTGGTTCGGCCTTACTTAAGTCTGAAGTTGTATGAGATGCGCAACCTCCGACAAGACCTACCCTTCGAGCCTCGGCGTGCATGCACAGCAATTATTCATTTTTGCCGATACGATGCACGCCAACCACATGTTCGCCCCGAGGACGGGCTCTCCACTACGTGGAGTGTTCACTAAAGCGAGCCAGCAGTATGGAAGACGCGAAGCTGTGTGTTACCTGCGTGTGTCGACGGAGAGTTCGGAGTTCGGAGAACTGTGTCGGAGCAACATGCACCGCAGTTTACAATAGTGGGCCCTCTATAGTGCAGGGGTGTGCCCAGATATTTTACCTGCACTATGTACCGGGCATCTCCACTACTCAGGATCGAGGAATACATAGGTTTTAGAATACGTACCAGCTCAAATCTGTGTCAGCAAATTCACCGGCACTACTATACCGGACACCTGCACTATTCAACCTGGACTATAGAGGGCCCAGTACTGCATCCGTTGGTCCTTTTTTTCTGTTGCGGACTGTCGAATGCGCCGACCATTTCATGTGTGGGCGGCCTGTGGCCGCCTGTGGCCGAAGGCCAAAAGAGTCTAATTAGGGTCGAAGAGTTTGGCGACGAGTCAAGACTTCAAGCCAAGAGCTAATGGTAAAGGGTGTGCAAGAAAGGGTGCATCAGCCGGGACCTGAGTATCCATTGGCGGGTATTGTATGACCTACTGAATCCCGACCGCACCGGCGTACGGTGCCGTGTTGGCCAATCAGCGTGCTTCGGACTGAACCAAGCTCGTGCAGGCTGCGGGAGGTTTATCGTCATGTTGTCCGGTAGTCGTGTGACAGCAGGAATCCATCGCCATGACTCAGAGAGTCAGTACGGAGAACAAGTACTGGATGGAGGAAAAGGGAGATTTGGATTTGAAGAAAATAGCATCGACAACAAAGCGCCCACCTTTCCCACAATGTACTTGTCCCGCAGCCGACGTTCAGGACTGCAACCTCCTCTCTACCAGCAGCAGTATGCATCGTAGCAGATGGACCCCCAGCAGGGAGCAATCGTTTGACCTCCTCAACAAACACGTCGCCCTCAACATGCCACTCCGACACTGCCTGTTGACCGCTATCATCTTGTCCCGAGGAATACACTTTGTTCCAATACGCTGACGACGAGAAGTCTTGCATGCTTATCCGCAGCGGGCGGCGTGTCCCGCTGCTCCATCCGCTGCTGATTCTTTGACTGCTGCCCTGGACAACCATCGGAAATAAAGTTTTGGGAGGAAAGGTCAGATGGCCTGCTGCAAGGAACGCCATCAATGGTGGAGGTGGGACCATTGTATTCGCGGCTATGGAAGGAAGCCCTCCTCCGCCCATTTTTTGACAGCAATGGACGGGGGAGGCTGCGCGGCGCGGCAAGACTGTCAGCTTCTAAAAAATCGTCGGTACGGTGTAGTAAACCGTTTGCGCTTTTCGAATTTGAAATGCACACTTTGTAAATGCCGACCCTTCTGGAATGAATGCCATACAGGTTTGGAGTTCCCGAGAGTGTCGAGCCTTCAGCGCGTCGCGAAGGAGCTAGCTGTAGCTGTACGTTCGGCGAGGATCAATAGGTGAATAAGCGGCAACAGGCATGCACTATGCACGACACAGCGCTAGAAGAGTGTGTCCAGCCCCCAGCATGACGATGAAACCGATATTTTTTCCCCGTTTTTTCGCTCGCCACAACTCGCCGCGTTTTTGTCGCACCCAGGGGACACGTGCGCACTTATATGTGCGACGCGTAAACTATACACGTCGCTCCGATGGAAGAATTGTGGTTATCCATAGATGATGCAAACTCAGTCGTGGGATAGCCGTGCGTCAAAAGATCCTAACACGAAAAATGGCACAACCAGCGGTGGTCGCTGCCGAAGATCCCGAGCACAGCAACGAGTATGGCGACGAAGGATTTGAAAGCGACGTGCCCAGAAGCCGCCCCAGCAGGGATGACCGAGAAAGTTCTGAGAAACGCGTAGAGGAATCCGCTGTCTTGGGCTTAGACACTGGCCTGGATGACGCTGATTTGCAGGTGCACGTGGTAGATGCTATGAAAGAGTGGCGCATGATGTGTGTTCACATCATCATGTGTATCTGCGGCAGATCTAGTCGAGACTACATAGTTTGCTGTACTGTATGCATAGGAACAAACACTGTGGTCGTATCTCGAATGGGTAGTCTTTCTGTGTTTTTATTTATGTTTCCTAACAAACATCAAGTGTACGAAGGCGCTCTACACACCGTCTATGTATCCGCACACCCTTTGGTTGCGCCATGATCGGAGCGCTTTGGTAAAGTGACTCTTGCGTCGTGTGGGATGTCGCCATTATTCTTCAAAGTCCGTGTCCAATGGAAGTCTCCGCGTTGGTGTGGGAAAACGGGTAGTTGTTCGCGACATTAGCCTGCACAGATAGTCTACATGACCAGGTCTAGTCATTGTAGACGGACTGGAGATTACAAGTCGCTACATAATGACACAATGATGTAATTACACAATGATATCGTGTAGTAGAAGTTCTGGATGATAGCAAATGTGGCGATCTTGATAACTTAGGAACCTCAAACGTTTGAGGGGTGAATCTACTCTCCATTTTGTCCTCTTCACTACTGAGGAGGACTATCGGTGAGGAATACCAGCCACAGACTTTATACAGGTGTATCAGTTGTGCCGAAAATGTTTCCCGGCCGACAACACCAGACAGTTGTCGGCAGGCACGGTTAAATAGTAATCGAATTCTACGCGAAGTCGAAAGGGCGCACAAAATACATACCTCGAAGTATAATAGTAAGCTCCTGGGAGCGCCGTGCCCTGGCCCAAAAGCGTGCTCAATATTGCATACCTGATGCTCGGGGCAACATCCTGTACATCCGACGGCTGACACACTTTTACAACAACGCATTGTTTTGTTGATTCGACAATTATTCTCTTTCGTCGTACAACACACGAAGATCTCGGCCAGTAGCAGTGACGCTGGGACTGCTGGTAAGACTTCGGCACCCCTCGCACGGCAGACGGGCTCCGAACTGGCTCAAGGAGAGCAAGAGCTGAACAAGACCCAAACCCAACGCCTTGTCGACGGGGAAAATGGGATCGACGAGGAGGGAAAAGGGGTAGCGTTCGGAAATGCACAAGAGAGTAGGACGGAAGGCATTGACAACCGAGAAGGAAGTGAAACCGGTTTGAAGGAGCGGGATTTGCCGTTCCGAGTCCCAACAGATAGCGATGGCGACGATGACGACGGCGCTCGCGAGTACCCAAGCCTCGACATGAATTTGGATAACGCAGTTTTTTCTCTAGACGACGACAGAGACCCTTCGCCAGAGAAGTTTCTCGGCCGAACGGGTAGCGTAGAATTTAGCAGCAACGACTTGTTTTCACCACAACCCTTCGGAGCACCCGAGAAAGAAGAGCTCCATGTTGGTGATGAGGTTCAGCTGGAGCAGGAGTTGCCGCACAAGCCCCACGGTGATCGGTGCAAGACCAGGGGGAGGAAAAAGGAAAGCGATATCCGAGGGGCAAGATCGCGAACTTTCAAACCGAGATATCGAAGCCAGGTTAGCCTATCTACGGAGTAGATGCAAAAGATACGAGACAGCTGTTGGTTCAGTTTAGACGGCTGGAACGTTGGCGTTTACCTCTTCTTTCTCTCACCGAGATTAAAACGGAATTGACAAATATATCGCCATTTTCTCACATACAAAATACCCACTATGTAAACCCAGGCTAACGCCATACCTCTCCGCTTCGTACGGCCATCAAATTCTTGGCGGTCAAACAGGAAAACGATGGACGAACAAGGCTGCGAGCAAGCAGCCAAAGCCGTGCGGACGCCGGGGGGGCGGCGAGCATACGGCGGCAGCGACAGGAGCGCTTGATTCAGCAGCTCACGCGTGACAACGGGGTGTTGCAGCGCAAAGTAGCGGGCTACCAGCTTGCGTTGCAGGTTAGAAGCCCGTGCGTAGGCCTGAGAGTGAACAGTTTGACGGATCGACCGGGCATCGGGGTGGTTCCCGTGTTCGGCACTGAGGACTCAGCTGACACTAACCGCTACAACCCCATGACGTATTGAAAATTAGAACGTCAAGCGAAATTGCGCATACCTCTTGATGGCCGGACGGCCGGATATACCACTCAATCAGCTCGATGGGGTACAAAACTCGATCACACACGTCATTGGTGAACAACGCTTTCCACGACAGCGCACCATGTAAACTGGTGGGCTTCATCACAACCCTCCTCCTCCACTCACTGACTGATGTGTAACCCCCCCCCTCACGTCTCCGTCTATCCTCCGGTGCATATACCCTCCGACGACAAACCTCCAACACGGGCGCGGCCGGAAACACCCTCCCCCCGACAACGACAAATAAACGGGAACAGCTATCCGCCGATGAGGACGACTTCTCCACGAGCCCGTCCTTCTCTACCGCCATGCAGCTGCAGCAAGCCGCACCACCGGCCTTCCCGCGCGGTGGGGGTACGCCCGCGCCATCCCCCCGCGTCGCCAGGGGCTGGACGCACCAAAATCCACCGCCGCCTGGCCGCATCTCTCCTGTCGAGCGCAACCTCTCGTACACTACCCTGGTGCGGCAGCTTGACATGGGTGGGAGGCGAGCGAGGACGCTGAAGCGGGAGAACGAGGCTCTTGGGGCGAGGGTGAATGAGCTCGAGAGCGGGGCGGTCCTCAGAGCGACGCAGTCGAGGCTCTCAGAGCGGGACGAAGTGAGTCGGCCAAGTGAACGTTGAGAGTATAGCGGCCATGGCAATCGTCAACAAACGCCTCATATATGCTGTTTGCACAGGACGCGATCACACACGGACATCGGTGTTGAATCTGGAGCAGCCCTTCACCTCCACCATGGCTCATTTTCCGTCATTCGTTGTTGGCTTTTCTGTGCATACCCCAATCAACCAGGAAATAGTGGCACTCCGAGAGGAACTGTCCGTTATGAACCGACTTGCTCGAGCTCAAGACCGCAAGTTCGAGGGATGCCACGGGTACGCCCTCGCTCGTCGACTGTGGCTAACAGAGGAGGAGCTACGGACAGCTCGCTCAACTATATCTACACTGGGAGCCGAGGTATGTCGCGATCCACCGCGCGATTCGCAGTCACCAAACCTCGGAAGCACTTGGTTAGCATACCAATCGCATCGTGTTATTGATTTTTGACCGGGAACAGAAAATAAAAAGCACTTGGCACAGAATGTGTGCATGTTGGCTTGCCACACTTGCCGGATAAGTCTCAACATAAATATTGGCGCGAGAAAACTCACTTCTGCAGATTTTATTTGCGAAGTCGATTGCTTGCGGGGCAGGGGTTCAACTTGCGAAGAAACGACGAGGTTCATTTTGACGTGATACCATAATTATCTGTGAACGACCGATTCTGAAGCAATACAGGGGAAATGGTCACAGGTTCAAGGACAGGATCCGCGGCTTGCACTGTCACCAACACAACGAGCCCCTCAGTGTTAAAAACGCGATTCAAAACTCGCTCCAGGTATATGGATTGCGCCAGCTCCGAAAGACACAAAGCCAGGATCGACGCCCCCGTATCAAGATAGTAGCGGCGGAGTCAACCCCTGACAATAACCACTCAAACACGGGGAAGCAACAACGAAGTCCAAGGCGGCCGTTGTGCCGCAGGAGAACGAGCTACCCAGACAACGCTGTGCCATATCTCCGAATAACACGGCAGGAGCAAGGGGGTAGAAGTAGTTTCACCCCAAGGGGGAGTCAGAGCCCAGCCACCGGAGAGTTTGGTCTTACAGCAGTGGAGGCGAAAGGATCGGTCAGCGGTAGTGGCAGGGTGGCTCGATCGGGTGACGAGAATTTCCCAGTTGTGCAGGGTCAGGAGGCCAAGCAGCAAATGGCGGACGCTAAGGCGGAGATGCTAGAGCGGGCTTTGGCCAACATGCGGAAAAAGGCACGTGGTTCGAACTATTCTTGACGTGGTTTGGTGCTTAGATCACGTTGTTAGGTGAAAGGAAGAGTCCTTTGTTACGACACTTGGCATCAGCGTCTGGTCCAACGTTCTTCTTTCAATACGTTCGGTCCTACAGACCGGCACTCGCTCGATTTTGGTCCACAAGCGGCATCTGGGTTCTGGGGCACTAATTCTGGATTTCAGACTTTGTCTCAGGGTGCCGTCACCGGTCGTACGAGATTCACCGTGGACAGACTCACAACTTTGCCTTCATCGTGTATGAACTCGCGTTCCGACAAGTACAATGAACGGTGCCGAAAGAACTCAGTGACCCCTTGAAACGACAGTTCTTGCTGCTATTTGTGTTTCAGGCAAAGGGAGAGCTCGAAGCGGCACGAGTGGAAATCGATGGGCTTAAGGAAGACAAGGCCGTCCTAACCCAGGCACTCGAAACGAAGGCGAGGGAGATTCGGATGCAACTGCTACAGGTATGGTATGCGGCGTCGAAGGCAATACTGTTCTTATGGTTCATTGGCCGGTGGTGGCTGGCCGCCGTGTCGTCTCTTCAAGTGTTTCGACTCGAACATACCCCACATACAATTTGTTTGGCTGTCGACACCTCACCCTGGGTGCAAACAAACCGGGGGAAGGCGTGTCTTGACCCCCAATAGTTTCTGCGGCAACCCGTACATTCAGCTTTGCCCAAGCAACGGCATGGACTCCGCCAACCCGAACCCGATGGTACCCGATGCAGAACAAGGTCTTGTTTTCTTCCGGCCGCAACCACTGAAACCAGAGGCCCGACCCCTACCCCTCCGCGAACAGGTCAATCGCCTGAAGCGAGAGATCCAACATCTCTCCGCCGGGGCGATTAAGCTCGAAGAGGCGAGTTGCGTGGTCGCAGCAGCCAGTCTTCCGTTGAGAGCGCGAGGAATTTCTTCTGCAGCCGCCGGGGCCGGTGGAACGTCAGCATCGGCCGTGACGAAGTTGCACGAAGGCCGAGCGAAGTCCGCTGTCTACAGCAGGCCCGGTGCTGGTGGTGGTGGAGCTTCGATGAATTTGTTGGACCGTTCCCAGCCTCCTCCTCGCTCGGATCGTCGGTTGAGGAGCGAGCGGGAGCCCTGGGGTGCCCGGGCCCGTCTTTCGGGCCAGTTCTCACCCATGGGGTGGGATCGAGACTGGGGAGGCGAAGGGGCTGTTACCGCACCTACCGCCGGCACTGGAACGCCCGACGCGGCGGGTGAAGCAACAGCCACTGGAGCACCACCAGCTGCAGCAGCCGTGGCTGGGGAAGTTGTGAGTGGGGCGTTCGGACGAGCCTTGTCAGGATTGCAAGCTGATGAAGCGGCGAAGAGCGCCGACAGGGGCGATGGAGGTGTGGGTGTGAAGCTGGATTCAATAGAAGGAAAACAGGAAGAAGTCGTGGCCAAACCGGAGAAGGTCGAGGATATTGCGGCGGTGGCGGCGGCGGCGGCCGCAGGGGGCGAGGCAACACATCTCCACCCTTGTCCATTGGCGGGGCTGATGGACATGTCAGAACTTCCGCTGCGCAGCCATCGGCGGAGCTACTACAATGAGGATGACGGGAAGGTGTATAATATTCCGCGTACTAGCGACGATGTGGCAGCTGCGGAACTAACAGAGGTGCCGAGGGAAGAGGAGCGATCTAAGTGCGTCGTCGACTTTCGGGGGATTGTGCGGCATGGGGTAGGCTGCGCACTAAGCAAACTGGCACCACGGAGTGCACGGGGTTCGTCGGCGACCTCCAGAAAACAATCGCTCAATAACACGAGTGCTACTCCTGATCAAGGCCCGGACCAAGAACGGTTGCTTCTACCCGGGGAGAATCCTTTGTCGATAGGCATATCTGTCCGCACGTGGCACAGAGACAACACCTCGGGTTGGGACCCTACTGGGGAGGGAGCGACTGGTGAGGGGGGAGGCTGGCGCGATTGTTGGATGCACCGGACACCGTACCGTACGGTAGCTGAGTCCTGCACTCATCGTCGCCGGGGCGAATGAAGTAGAAACCTTCCCCGCACGAGTTTGCTCAGCATGGCCGTATACATTCTAACCCAAGTTTCACCTGACCAGTAACGTTGTAGGCCAACGATATACATACGTGTTTGCTCTTGTAAATATGTGACGGCAATGGCAGGTGCGTGTCACATCGTCCCAACGTAGCATATTGAAACCACCCGCCAACGAAGTGTCATCTGGCGGTGTCGCTTGCCACGTGCTCCTCCCCCTTCCCCTTCGTCTCTTCCAGCACGACTACCAGTTGGGAGTCAGAAGCCTCACCGGATGTCGTGTGTGTCTTTGTCGGAAGGAGGGAGGTTGACGCCAACGATCAATCTCGCGAGGCGCCCTACTCATTTTTCCGTCGAATGTGTACGGGAGGTTGCGTAAGGAAAGCGAGGAATCTTTCGCCTCATGGAGAACCAGGTACTCGCTTGTTGTTGGAAATCGACGGCCCTGGCTGAAGAGATGTTGCCATATTGCTGCACACACCATATGTTAGTATCGATGCCGGCTTGTGGATTTACGCTACCATGAAGATGAATGAATGCCGAAGGGAGAGCGAGAATGGGGAACCCCAGAACCACAGAGGCCGCAACAAGCACTAATCTTTCTCTTTTTCACTTCTCCAACTTACGGGAAATCCATGGCCGAAACGTGACCATGTTGATACAACGCCGTGTCCTTATCCGGTTGTTGTGTCACCTGTTAATGCACCCTCATACCCCCCGATGACTTGTTGTCGTTGACGATGTCATGCTTGTGTCGTTTCTGTCAGGTTACATGCCATGTTCCAGGGAAATGGTTGCTCGCATCAAAGCAATGACGCTTCATGCACACTCACGCGTTTGGCATGGACAGCGCCGTGCGCATGTCGAATACGTGTGTGTGCGGTGGTGTCATTTCCGAGACACCGCCATTCCCTGTACGGTTCGCCCGAAGTTCTTGTCTCTCTTTCTTGTGCAGTTTGTTCCGCTAGTGTTGTTGAGGCTCTGTAGGAGTGTCTTGCGGGTGGGAGGGGTGGGATGAGGTGTACACTCAGTGGTACGTACAGTTGCCCTTGGTCATTTGGTCGTTGACCACGCAAACCTTTAGAGGACGGGTTACCGTTGTTCCTAGCCCTGTGGTGTGTCGGCGAAGAGGACCCCATTGATGTTCTAATTTAACACAGCTACTCATATGACTCGGTGAACGCCGTACATTTCTAGGCACACGAGAACACGTGCACCCCAGGAAATGGGGTTCCCGGCAAAAGGCCAACCACCCGTGATTGTTCGAAAGGTATGTAGATGGGAGTTTAGATTCACCACCATACGCTGCGAAAGAGGGAGGGCCCTGTTTAAACGAACCGGGGCCCACGATCCCCCCCCGTCGGTGCGCATCCACACCTTTGCCCAAGATAGCCAAGAATCGCAAGACCTGGCACCTCCTCACCTTCATTGCACTGAAGAAATTTGGTACATACACGGTGTGGCGCGTCAAAGCCACCGCATTATTTGGCCGTCTCTTCTCGTGCATGTAAAGGGCATCATTTCAATCTTGTATTATCTTGTTTTTAGAGGGAGCAAGATATTGATTTGGTCGAGAGGGGTGAGATGGATCCCCTGTAACTAACTGTATGTACAGTAGTGAGTTTCGGCAGGAGAGAGGGTTAGAAATTCGGAAAACTGCTGGATTTAAGGGCCGTTTCAAACGCAGCGCTATTTCGCTCCAAATTTCCAAATGTCCAAAAAAAACAAATTGGAAAGGTTCCAAAAATTTGGAACGAACCATTCCAATTTTTGGGCCCCTACTTCTTTCCATATTTCCAAATGTTCCAAAAAGAAACATGTTGTGTGGGCGCCGGAAACCGCCGTTCCGTGTGTTTTTGGAACGAAAATTTTGGAAATTTGGAAAAAAATCACCGCGTCTAAAACGGCCCTTAGAGATAACGAACGTTCGGCGAAACCGTTCTTCTTCTTGGGAAGACCAGGCCTATTGTCGGATTTGAACGAAAAACACACCAGGGGCGGCGGCAGCGAAAACAATAACAGCTTGCGTCGCAATAACAAAAACTTCATTCGCCAGACACGATGCTCGGCACCACAGCAGAGCAGTGCCTTTAGAAATGTTATCAACGCTAGCCCGTATTTATCTTGCGTAGACTCGGGGCTTACCACCGTGGCGGGGCTGCCCCCAGTTCAGTTGTGTGGGGGTGATCAAGGAGCTTGACTTTCCTCTTCTTGCTTTGTGCAAAAGGGATGAGACAGACCTTTATTATTTCCACGGGGGAGAGAGAGGAGAAAAAGCGGCAGCAACCAAGAGAGAGAGGACACTCGATTAACCCCCAGCCCATGTAACTTGGCAAACCCAGAATTGTAGCACATCATTGAGCGTATGAAGATAGGTGGCGACGTATATAGTGCGTGTTCATTCGTGTCCCAGACAAGATTGATCTGCCTCCTTCTCTCCCAGGTTTTGTTCTCCTGCCCAGCAACCCAGCATCAACAGTTTTAAGTAGGTCGACGCTTGGAATGCATAGTGAGCTCCACACCTCACTTCAGGCACGGGGAGCAACCAACGCTGGTGGACATCGACGAAACAGTCGTGTACGTGTCTCTGCGTCGGTAGTTGGTGACGAATGCTCCGGCAAATAAACAAATGGCATTGGACACATTGATTGGTTGTGAGGTAAGTGTTCTATGGCCTCAGCAGTTTGGGCAGAAAAGGGAGTACTCCCAGCCACAGCTGTCTGAAAGAGCTACTGGTACAAAACAGAATTGCTCCGGAGTACATAGTAGTTCAATAAAAGAGCGCGGCAACACAAAGAAAGTTGACGGCCGCGATTAAACGCGAGGCGTAGCTCTCCACATCGTTCTAGTACTCCCGTTCTTCATGTTCCGTGTCCCCCGGAACGATACGACCACGAACTCCGTACGTACGTATGCACAACGAACCCGTGTCATGATCCAGCATGAAAATATGTTCACATGTGTCCATTTACATTACTCGAGAAAGGCAACTCGCAAAGTCCCCCGATGTACTTCTGGCGTACATTAGTCGAAGCTTGTATCCTATCATACTTCTGTATGACAATTCGGAATGAACGGCTCAATTCTCGGTTACTACAATCATCGGTCCAAGATGTTCACATCGCGCAGCCAACAATCAATATAAAACTACATCCAAAAAGGTACTCTTTTAGTCTTAGGAGCACTCTTCGCGCGAAACCAAAGGTTTCAATACTGATGTAGGGCTCTATTGTGGTTTCATGCTGGGCTTGCTCTATCTTCCTCCCCTCCCCGGCTCTGTACATACATCTTTGCCCCCGTGGTATTCTTTATCTATCTTTTTCTCCCTCGCTGCTATTTGTCTATTGGCCCCTGTCTGTTGCCCCCGTGCCCCCCCGCCGTGTCTCTCTATCGCCCTGTGCGTCTGTCCCTCCGACTCTCCCGTTTCTGCTCCTCCTCTCTTCGTTCTACTCGAGTCACCCCCAAGGACCTCTGCGCGGCCTGCCTCCGCTGCAAGGCAAGACCCCGACAAACGCGGGAGAAGAACAAATGAGGTTCAAGCGATTCTATTGTCCTCGAGAGCATGTGTACGATTCCCTTACAGGCATTGGCCAGGCAGCAAAAAGAGACTAAATACGAGAAGCTACATAGGTCGGCATATTTTGGATATGTGACGCGGTGCCTGCCTATTGTTGTGCGGGTCACTGCCGTGTACGACGGAGAAATTTCGTCGTGTACAGGCCTCGTGCCCCACACTCGCACGATACTCAGTAGCGGCCCGTGCATCAGAACACTAGAAAACAGACAAAGAGGCTTTTCGACCGGTCTTCACGTGGCGACCGATAAGATATTTGCCTCAAGGAATTGGGCTCAGCGGAAGCCACGGTAACACAACCTAGAGGTATAAGATCGCCCTGCCGTGGGAGAACAGAGAACGGAAATAATGGAGCTCACGCCCCCCCAGGGCGATTAGGAACCGCCCACATCGCGGCCTGGGTATTGCCGGAGCCCGACTTGGGTGTGCCGTGGGGTCTAGAGCGAGCCGGTCCGGGAGGGCATCAGGGCTCGATGAGAGGCCTCTGCAAATGACAAGAGCAGACACCTTTCGAATGCTTGCGGTGGTCGTATAATGCATGTTTCCACAACGCAATCGAGGTGTACCGTGTGCGTGGGCAAACGATCGACGCGTTCTCAATGTTGCTATCTTATTGCGAACTCGGAAGACACGATTCTGAGCTAACGTAGACAAGGTTTACAACCTCACCCCAAAAGTTAAGTTTCTCATCAGAAGGCCGTCACTGCTGTAGGTTGCTGGCCATGATCCATGCGGTTCAACAAATTCAATACCCGGAACGTTCCAAGAGAGAACTGCAACGAGAACATCACACAAAATACCTGCCCGGTCCAGGGGGGGGTGGCATCTTGCCGCGATGCCTCCTAGGCCACGGAGACTGTTCCGCCAACCGTTCCTCCCTGGCGTACAGCACGAGCTGACGCCGCGTCCGAGCAAACACCAAACGTGCCAGCAGCAGAAATGGACGAGGTGATGGCGTTAGGGGCAGGGAGTTGTCTCGTAACCTATTTCACCAGCTCTTGTTACGTTTTGCAAGGATGGCACGCCAACAACCAAGGCCAATATCGTTCTCGGGCGGGGAGGAACACCTGCTCCAGACGCGGCCACACATCGCGTTGAAAACTGCGCCCCAAAAGACCCCAAAAGGTCGACAAATCCAGGTTGTCTCGGCTGGCTAGAATTTTTCTCTGCCTCGCGACATCGGAAGACCAAACAGCAAAATCAACGTCAAATCCTAGCCCCTATCCGGTCACAGCCTTGAGTATCCAGTCACTCATCTATTGGCAAGTACACGAGCTCGAGGAGGCGGCGAATCAAGCCGGTGCGGTAAGAAAAGGCAGGGGGGCCACGA